AAGTGTTTTTTGACAAGTTCAAAATCTTCAAGAAGCTATTTCGTGTTCACGGCTTCACGCAAACAGCAACCTAACCCTGCCAAAACACAAAATAGGGGAGCTTACAGGAAATGAACATGCTATTTTATATTACAGCAAGAATATGAATATGAGCAAAAATAACAAGATCTATAAATGCAACTACACCTCTATTTTACTAAGAAATACATTGATGTAAACTCAAATTTTGGAAAAAACAGATTATAATATTTTTAACCATATTGCTAGTATACAAATATACAATCATAATTCCAGTATACTTCCTCATGAAGCTGATATCATAAAAAGCCTCACTTTCAGAAATGCTGTTGATCGGAGATGCAATGACCTTCTACCTAACATGGGGGATAAAATACAGAAAGTTCAATGAACCATTTTAATCTAATCCACCATATTCCAAATGCCAATTATGTAGTTAATGTATCAGAGTAAATGTCAAAACAGAAATCACAAATGGTTGGTGATCAGTCACTTTTTATGCTAATCTCTGATAGATTAACTTTAATAATCTTTTGAAGGAGAGAAAAACCTACACATAACTTGGTCAAACATCTGATCAACTCTTAGGCAACCCATTGACAACATTAACAATAAAACCACACAAGTCAAAAGAAGAAAAAAAAAGGAAAAGATCAGAACCTAGTGCTGACCACCAAAAACAAGGAAAATTCCAAGAATAAAACTTTACAGTCCTAGTTGCAAAACTAAATTAATAAAGAGTTAATTCCATTGATTCACCTCCCAACAACTTTCCACTTTTCGTAACAATTTAAGAGAATCATAACCAAATCTGTAACTACTTTGTGGCAGTGTGGCCTGTGCTTATGTCTATCCTTCAAATTCGAAAGAGAGAAGGAAATCATTTTACTACAATTTGGAACGTTCCTGCTAATTCTCCTTATTTTTACTCTGTAAATATTATAAGTACATGAAACTCTAACAAAACAGAATGACACTGTGAAGGCCTTATCTGTAAGCAGAAAATCAACCTATAAAACAAGAATCTTCTTAAAATGTACTCACTGCAAATAATATAAGGGAAAAAAATTCGGAAACAGTCTAGCACTCGAGAATACTTAGCAAAATGCATATTTCCTATAAATATATAAGAGAGAGAAAGAGAAGGGAGAATAGCAAGAAAAGAAAAATATACTGCTTCTTCTTCCGGTGAGTCTTACAGCTACCAAAAACAAGACTTTCAACCAGCACAGCTATTTCGGGATGTGACGGTGCATTGTCACTCCAAATCAAGATATCGGGGTTGGACTTGTCAATCGATCGCAAACCACGGATCATCACCCTCTCCGCCTTCTGCCTTTGCAAATCAAACCAGATAAACTTTTCATCATCTTGTTCAAGAAGCACCTTAGAACCATCCTTTGAGAAGGCAATTGGCCTCACATATTCAAAAGGTTCAATTACATGTTGCCAGACTGCGAACAGCTCAGTCCAAGAATCTTGATCACCATACTCCTTCATGACCCACACCTCACTCCGAATGGTAGGATAGTATACTAGCACACATAAGCGTTGTTGTAACACTTCGACATTCAAATGGACTTTACCAGGTGAATACTTAGGCTGCGGCACAACCTTCAACTTTTCAGAATTCAAATCAAATGCAACTATCAGCTTGGACCCATCTGATTCAGGCTTCACAGTTACCATCCAATGTAGACAACCACTGACATAAACACCCATTTTTCGTTTGTAAGAAACAAAATATTCACGAGGAAAGTCATGAACCCTTCTCCAAGAGCTTGTCTTCAAACTAAAGACCTTGACTTCACTTTCATATGAGTCAGGGCGACTATTATAAAACTGAATGATCCTGACCACCTTGTAATCATCAATAACCGGATCATAACCAAATCCATATACTAAACGCTCACACCATGTGCCATACTCAGGAAATTCTATCCGGGAAGCAGGCAATTCCCACAGTTTTTTAGTGGTTGGATTGTAGATTATGATTCCTCTATTGCCCCTTCCCCATTTGAAAAAAAAGGTAGTCCATTGCAAGAGCCCAATAGCTCAGTTCCAATAGAATCAGACTTCCAGGGATGGTCTATTGCAATAGCCTCATCAAGTGCAGGGAAGTCCACAGAATAAAGATCATCGCCTGGTATGATAAGGGCATGATTAGTGATGTTCTGCAAGGAGTGTTGCAGTTGGAGTCTGAATAAATGAGTGTCATCGATTATGTACTTCCATGATTTTGATACACAACGTAAGCGTAGAAGGGATTTTGCTGGAATTCTTGACAGTATATCCATGATCAACGGCGTTGGAAGATTTATCATTATCATTGTCACTGAGCTTTACCCAACAAAGCCTAAGAAACAATGAAAATCCTGGTATTAAAAATACAAGCCTCGAAAAATTTCTATAACCCCAGAACCCATTTCTCAGTCAATTTGACATTCAATATCCTTTACCAAGTCCCACATTCAAGATCTTAAAGAATACTTATCTATCATCAGACTATCACTTATTATACTCATTCCGCCTCAACTCAAACAATCAATCAAAGCCTTAATCCTATAAGTGGGGGTCGGCTACATGAACCAAATTTAATTATTCCATGTAATCTTTGACAAAGATCCTCCTCCTCCATCCCTTACGATCATCGACAAAGATCCTCCTCCTCATTCCACCTCAACTACTCATATCAAATCCTAGACACTCCAACATGACTACAGACACTTCATTTAGGCCTTATAACATGAGAAATATAAAAACATTCTATGTCTAATAAGAAGTATGAGTTAGGGAAAAAGACAAAGAGGGTTACTTGATATTTAATACTCCGTTCAACAAAACATTAATCTCTAAATTTCCAGCTTACAGCAACAATTTTAATTTTCTTACTATCATAACATTTAGGGCATTATTAGATCATCCTACTGCAATTGCCAAGAAAATAGAATTTCTCAAAAAAATTAAACTTTTTTCACATAAACTACTACCCATATCATAAAATTAATCTATTTAACACAGGATTAATAGTGATATCCTCCGGCAACTTTTTAACCAACCTAGGATAAAAATAAATAAATAAAAAATCAGAATTTCTGAGAGATCAAAGCAATATAGAAGAAAAAGGCAATAATTTGGAGATACAATAAAACGATTAAACTGAGGAATTGAGTACCTAAAAATAATGCAAGATCAGCGTGCCAGGGATACGAGTACCGAAGGACCTCAAAGTCTCAAAGACGAGATTTTGCAACAGGTTTGGGAAATAAGGAAGAAAGAAAGTGGATCACGAATTAATTAGGTAAGGAGACTCCTCCGTCTTTTAATAATTGTTGCACTGACCTGTATATTGTTTTAGGCAATTTACTTGACTTAAATAAAATGAGAAGTAAGTGGGTAGTTAGAGGATTCAAAAATTATAAACGAAAGATAGTGGAGTTAATAGTTTTAAAAATTTATGAATGTGAGAGGAAAAATATTATTAAAAATATCATTGGTAGCATGTATTTTGATGATCTAAAACACAAATCTTTGTAGAAGATATAGAGGTCGCAACATTTTTTTTTTTTTTTCGCAAACCTTGTTTGATCTGAAAAATAATGTAAGGTAATGTCCAAAGTGAACATAGTTAAATGCCTTAAATACAAACATATTAAAAAAAATAAAAAAAAAAAACAAAAATCACACATCTCTTTTTCGGATCAAACAAGGATTGCGAACAAAAAATAACTGTAACCTTACCTTTACAGGATTATTTTATGCGAAATTCTATTTGGTAACATCTAATTTCTTATATTTCTCTATGGTAAATCGGGGAAAAAGTTATTATCTTTGGTAAACTTGAACTTTTGGTTACTAAAGAGAATAACTATTTTAATTAAATATCTAAATCTAACCATGGTTAGTTTATAATAATTAAATAATATTTTTTTAAAAAAATAAAAATCCTCCCCACCAGCCCAGCCAAGCAGCCACCCCGTTCTCCTCCCCTCCACTGTCGGCGTCGTCGGCCCACCTTTCCCTGTAGGCGATTTAACTCCCCCGGTCGGCCGACACCAAGATCCGCCCCCGATTTCCCCACTCCCTTATCCCCCCACCACGACACCCTTAAGCTTCAAACGACGATATTTCCCCACTCCCTTTTTTCCCCCACCAAGACCCGCCATTGTTACAGAAATTCGAGGTCGTTAAGCTTCTGGTTCAGGTGGCTAGGGTGTGGTCAGATGCCGGTGGGGGAAGGGAGTGAGTTTTTATTTTTTTTAAAAAAAATTATTGTTAAAATCAATTAAATGTTTTTTTTTAAAAAAAAATAAAAAAAAAATAAAAATAAAAATATAACCTAAAAAAAAACTATGGTTAAATATTTAGCTTAAACTAGATTAGGGTATGTGCAAATACACAGACTCATAATGGTAAGATCGCGTCAAAAAAAATGGTAAGATTGATTATCAATTACTTACATGTAACTTTTTTTTTTATTTTTTTGTAAAAATTTAAATTTATTGAATGTATATCCTTAAATTTCTTGTTTGTTACATAAATATTTTTTTTATTTTATAGTAATTTCAATTTTTTTTTATACAAATTCATTTATAAAAAAATAGGGAAAATTTTTCATAAATTTGTGCCAAGTGTCCTATTTGGTGATTACGTTAGTATATAGTATAGATTTGGTGATTAATGTTATAGTTAGCTTAATATAAAAAAAAAAAAAAAAAAAAAAAAAAAAAATCAAGTTTACCAAAGATAATAAGTGTTTTTTTTTTCAATTTACCAGTGAGAAAATTAAAAATTACTATGTATAATGTTACCAAAGAGAATTTCCTTTATTTTATAAGAATTGCAATTGCATATATCAAACCAAAAGGAAGGAAAACCCAGCTCATAGCTGAGTGACAGAAACATCAACATAAAAACCAACAAATAAACTGATTAAAAAGGAAAAAAAAAAAAAAAAAAAAAAAAAAAAAAAGGCCTCATGTGATTCCAAAGCTTCAAGGATGCATCGTCAGCTGAGAGTTTACAAGGGCATTGGCCCAAAACTAGTTACATACATGATAATATTCCATAGTCATTACTTAGGTGATGATGTGATATGCCATAGTGAAGCATACACAATTTACTTAGCTTCAGGCAGAGTCATAATCACCTCGAATATGGGTTTTGCAGTGTTGCCAATGGAGCCACTTATGTACCCCCCTTCTTCGTTGGCCTGGTTCACCAATTTCCCATTACTCACCTTGTCACCAAGAGCTTGCCATATTCCTACACTCTCTACCTGCTCATAGTGCCCTGGTTTGCGAATTTCAGTATACACCTATAACAAGATCTTGAACATTACAAGAGGATTTCAATTGTAAAATCACTAGCCAAATAAGTCAGTTGATGTATACATAATCCGTTATGCAAGCCAAAAAGCAAGAAAAAAGAAAGGATGATTACTTATTAGTAGTTTAGCAAGAAAAATAAGGCTAAAAAGACTTATGATTAAGTTCCGTGTCCCCATACTTGTATATTTAACAAACTAGCTTGTATTCCGTACGTTTTAGCTAAGCACTTAGTCAGCACGTGACAATGTGCTCGAGTTGTTCACTGATGAACAAGCTCAAATCACACTTACACGTAGTATGTATTAATGTATATAAGCTTAAGCATACATATATACCTGGTTTGTGGGGCCCGAATAATTGTTAGAAAATCCCATGAACCAGTGTTGTTCTTTGCCTTGATTGTTGAGAGCAGAGTAAACAATGCCAACTCTAGACATCTTTTCCTGGTTATAGTATTGACCATGCAAGAACGCACCCCACTGCCCATTCGCAATGATCACTGGGTACGCAGACTCGCAAACACGTCCCTTCCAGTCACGAGCAATCACGTATGTCATTGTGTCACCGGTCGCATTGTAAATCAGACACATTGTGCTCACAACATCGTCCCCCCCCCCCCCAAATCGAGCCTGGAGCTTCTCCACGGAGTTTCGAGCATCCACAGCCTTGCCCTCGGCGTTCACCTTCTCTAGTGCAACCTTGGCTCGGTCTTGCTGGGTGATCGAGTTCTTGCCTTGATATTCAGGCATCGTTCTCAGGGTTGCCGTCGTAACTGGAGTTCCAAACACGTTTGAGCCCATTTTCGTTAATTTTCAACCTGCAAAGATGTGTTATGTAAAAAATATTTCATGTTACAACAACATACGGAGTACATACATACATATAATACATAGCATTGTAGCTATTTGCATGTAGGCAGTAGACAGTAGCTATTGTAATCAAATAAACCAAAATTAGAGAGTAGACATTATTCCAAAACGTAAGCCAATTCATTCATAGTCACGTTGGGATTTGACTAATTTTATCCAAAATTAATGCAATATAGTATATTGCAATGAACTCCCTAACCCCCTAATTTAATAGATTACATAACAAATCATCAATTTCACTAGCCCATAATAAATTTATAATATTAATTTCAAAGAAAAAAAAAACAGAAACTCTGCCTCTCTAATTTGATAAATTAAATAACAAATTATCAATTTCAATCAACATTCACACTCAATTGATACATTAAATACCATAAACTAATGTAAGCACAAAATCAACCCAACGACTCATGGAGAATAAGAAATTAGAAAGCTGAAAATTAATATTTAAGTATGAAATTGAGTTACCTGACAACCTGAAATTGATGATTTGAGGGCGCCAGCTGGAGTGCGGTGGCCGGTGGCTGGAAGGTGCGGCGGCAGAGGTGGCTAAGAGAGAGAGAGGGAAAGAGGAGCGTTATTTTGTTTTCATACTACATGGGGTCTTTATAGATTTGATATGTGTTTTGTTTATTTTTACTTCCTTCTATATTAAATATATTACTTAGTATTTTTTTTTTATAAAAAGGTAAGCGGGGCCCACATAGTCCTTTCTATCAACAGAAGCAATTTGTGGATGGGAGTACTCGGGGTGTGACTCGATCCCGGGTCTAAGCCACGGAAACGGGGAGTGGTTCCACTGAACTATCACTCCCAAGCATAGTTACTTGTTTACTTCAGATTAATTATTCACTTTGTTTTTAAATACTTGTTCCACTTTACATTTTCGACCGTTTTTAAATACTTGATCTATTTCATTATTTGGTAAACTTTTACAATATTTAATTCAATTCTCTCTATTACTGAACCCAACATAAATCATATTTTATTAATTTTATATTCTCTCTTCTCCAATGCTCTTAACTACTTTTGCTTTTTACAATTTTTTATTCCTTCACCTATCCCACTACCTCCATATTTTATTACTTTCTTCAATTTCTCTTAAAATTCCGTGTATAAAAAAATGGAACAAGTATTTACAAATGGAGGGAGTATGGTGCTAACCTTTTTTTCCAATTGTGAGTGTGTTAATCTTGGTTTTTGTTTGGTTTTCATTTTTTAGTTTCTTAACTTTTTGCACTTCCTAGTTGCTAGTTATGCCCCTGACCTTACTTTTGCTTTTATGGTGGTCTTGTTATTTTCCATAGCTTGTGAAATATTTCCTTTTATTTTACGTGCTAGTTAAGCATTTTTACTTTCCTTCTTTTTTATCTTATTCTTTTACCTTCTTTTGTTCTTTTTATACAGATGCTCTCTTCTTTTGGAGAACTCGCTAGGAGCACACTTACCTTGGAGTCTTGGACCCTTCTCTTATATCTTCTTTTCTTATAGCTTGAGGTAATTTTCCTTATTTTTTTTCCTATCACTTTTAACGAGTCTGAATGGACTTGTAAAATTGGGCTCGATTATTGGAGGTGATTTCCCTCATTTCCCTTATTGGGCTCAATTCTCTTATTCTTACAAGATTTGTTTTATTAGATTGTTTCTCAAACACAAAATTTGGGTTTTTTTATGTAAAATTTCCAAGGAAAAATCATATTAAAAATACTCAACATTGCTTTTTTAAAGGAAAAATTGAAACTAATAATCTCACCATTGTCACTTCTGCTCAAAATAATCTCACATTTGCGTATTTTAGAAATAATCCCACTTTTTACCCTCATCTGCTCAAAATAGTTCCTTAACCGGTTTGTGAAATTGATATCTGGTTATAGAAGGTGACTTGCCATGTGCCACCTCTTGATTGGTCTTAATTTTTTTAATTTATTTTTTTACAAAAAACAAAAACAAAAATAATACTAATTAAAAAAAAAAAAAAAAAATCAACCCAGCATCTTCCTCCCCTTTCCCTTTCCGCCTTTCCGGCCCCCTCCTGAAACTTACTTGCCGGAGCAGCCCCACTCCCCTTTCCCATCAGACATGCCGCCAACCCCCTTTCCCGTCACACTTTTGATCGCCACCACGCTCCAACAACAGCCCAACCGAACACCACCATACACGCACAACAGCCCAATCGAACACCATTATAATCGCCACCTCCACCATACAAGCTGCACCTCCACCTTAACACGGCCCACGAAATCGATTCCCTGCTCAACTCAGCCCCAATCAACCACCAGTTTCACACTTTCATTCCCAATATCGCACATAGAGCAACCACTAGCTAATCTGCCATTAAATTAACAACCACAACTTCAAAGACACCACTCCCAAATACCGACAACGACAACAGTAGCCCTTAGCAACTCCAAAATATCCAATAAACAACAACCAAATCGACACCAAAAGTATCAATTTTAGCAAGTCAACGCCCAATTATGAGCTCCTAACACACCGGTGGCTACGAGCAGTTCACTCAATATCCACAATTTGACGCGAGAGCAAGGGGAGGGTTTCGTGGGTGGCTGGGATGTCGAGTTTAGGAGGTTTCCAGGGTGATTGGGTGGTCGGTTAAGGGGGTTTCGTGGGTAATTGGGATCTCTCTCCACCACCACATCATCCACCGTAATCTTATATAGCCTATGCTTTTGATCAACCAATTCTAGCTCCTAATACTTTCATAAACACTACAACCGATTCTAGCTCTTGACAGACAATGATCTTAATTCTAATTGCTACATCACAATTTCAACAATTTACCATATACTCTGAACACTATGTTACAATCATAAACAACCCAATCACACAATGCCACAAAGAATTTAACAAGTAAAACAGTAGAATTTAGCTTAAAAGACAATTACCCTCATTTCTTGTAAGACAGAACATCATAGCGCTTCCGAGCCAGCTTAACACAATCCAACCAATGCAAAATCTGGTAATTGGGATCTCTCTCCACCACCACATCATCCACCGTAATCTGAACCGAACCCCGAAAACCCGAAACTCGGCCACGAACCCGGGCATCAAAACCAATTTGAACTCGGCTAGAATGAATGTTTGCCATTTGGGCGATTGAGTGAATATCTGATGGGCATCGCCGAGAAAAGTAAGAAGATGTCATCTGATTCAACCAAAGAATACATTGGACACACCCAGTTCCATCATCAATGGAAAACCTCAGGAATTTGTCGGGTTTGAGGTCCCGAGTTACAACAACTCCGAATACTTCGACCCGAGAAATGGGGATTCCCTTACGGTAGAAGACAATCGAGTCACGGGAAGAAGAGGAGGAGAGAGAATGGGATTGGGTTAAAGAGTTGAGGTCGAAGGCGAGGAGTTTGACATTGATGTTGTGAAGCGAATTTGGGTTGATTGAGGGTTCATAGTTTGCTGGTTTCTTGTTTGGATGATTTGACATTTTGGAAATTTGAATGAATTTTGTAGGTTTTTCTGGGTTTTGATGACTTTACAGGGAAGAGACTGGTTTTGGCGGGAAAGCTATGGTGGATGTGATCAAGTAAAAACCTAATTAGATTTGGGTTTGGGAATTAGGTTAAAATAAAATGAAGTTAAAGTGAACCGAATGATTAAGGATTCTTGTGTTTGTTTGCCTAATTATTTGCGTCATATTGTTGTAACATATGATACTTTGTACCATAATTCATTTCATTACTTTTTAAAATCTGAACTAGAATGTATCCATGCTAATGTACTGATATATATATATAGTAGGGAAAAAACATGATAAGAAATGAAATTGATAGTTACTTGTATTTGGGAAATTATTGGCCATTAGGAGAGACTATGAGATGTTGTTTGAGATATTGGTGATTGAAGTTTTGACATTGTGATAATGAGCTGTTAAAAAGACATTTGTTAAATTGTGAACCACTTGGTGACACACTGACACTCTAAGAATACTCTTGTGTTTGTCTTGCAATATCTATACGTGTCTATATACTTAGAAACTATTAAATTGCATGCTACTTTGTTAGAGTGAATCTCAACTTTCTAAAGGTCCAATACAAATTGTGTCAACTTGGGCAAATGAAAAAGGACCATAAGTCCATAAGGGCTACGCTGCATATGTTATATTTTTGTCATTTATAAGTCACAATTCACTAAAATTGACACATTTTTACTCTTCTATTATCATAGTATTTGGAAGGAAGATGTGAATAACATAAATAATACAAGTACTTCATATAATTATAACAGATCTTATCAAAGGCAATTATGTATGATACCTTTGGCTACTAGTTTTCTTTTTTTGCATAAAAAAAAGTATTTTTTTACTAGTTGTTATGCTTTAAGACAATACTCTCTTCAGAAACAGGGAGAGTGATGAATTTTCCCTATGAAATTCTTTATGAAATGTACAATTGTCCAGAAGAGAAAACATAAAAAGATATAATTTTTGTATTTAGTTATGTGAAACTGTGAAAGTACTAGTAACTTGGATACAAGCATTGTTTAATTTTCTTATACAAGATGAATTTTCTTATAAGAAATTCAGTGGTTCATTGATATGATGCAAAAATGATCTAGCTAACATTACAAGACTAACCCTAACAAATTGGAACATTAAAAAATGTCGAAGATTGAGTACAAATATTGAACAAGCTTACGTTTACAAGCAAGCTTGATACAACTGAAAAGAGAAACAATCCATGAAGATATTTACATGATCAATTTGATGAAGTTTTTTCTGCAGCTCATCCAACCATGCTGCGTTTTCTACCCCTTTGTCTAACTGCGACAATAAAACAAAACAAGTGAGCACAGATACACAAAGAGGAACAGCAGCAGATCAAGAGAAGGAAGACAAAGGAAATATAGTACCTTGAGCTAGCTTGTTTGTTGTGGAGCACCATTGCTTTGAGGATTTCCTGTATGCAGCAAGCACTTTTTCCATCTACACAAGAAAATTTGTTTTTAAACACAACGGAAACAGAAAAATTCCTCTAAATAATTTTAATTAACATTCCTATCTTGCTCCCAATGTGACTGTGATGGACCACTATTGTTGAGTAATAATTGATCCAGCACAGTAAAAAAAAATTACAAAATGGATAACCCAGCAGTTCCTACATACATATTCCCATAAAAGCCGTTGATTGTGGTTTAGTATAAAGAAACTAATAAACTATCTGCATGATCATAAGACATGAAGAGGATCCAATATAACCTACCACATTTCCACAAGAAGAGTGCATAGAAATCAATGCCCTTTCAAGTACGTATAAATCCACTGCTTTGTCTTCTGGTAAAGTAGATGTGAAGCTTAGGCCAAAGTCAATGAGCACCTGAGAAACATCACAGAAAACGCTAAGAGATCTTTCTCTGATGGGCTTACACCCCCCCCCCCCTCCTCTCCCTCTCTCTCTCTCTCTCTCTCTCTCTCTCTCTCTCCCTCCAAATTTAAAGTTTTCTTTTCCCTTCCCAACTACAGTACCTAACAAATATCAAAGTAGAATCTCACCAGTTGATTGGTATCCTTACGAATCAACATATTTGAGGTTGTCAAGTCTCCATGTATAAGGCCACCATCATGCAGTTTCGCAATAGAGTTCCCTATCTGTGTTGCAATATCCTGTAAACGTTCTTCAACAATTCCATTAGCACCAAACTCGAGAAATAGCTCCTTAACCATAGGGCCATCAACATACTCAAATGTTAGAGTATGCAATACGGGGTCCACAGCAAATAGAACTGGAGTTGCAACTCCTAACTTTCTCGCTTTTGTCATGCACCGGGCTTCCTGGTCAAAATCAAAATTTTATTGGTTAGGGAACAAAAGCTCACCAACAAATTTGACAAAAGGAGAAAAGTCAGGAATTAAATGACTGCCCATTAAACAGCTTACTGCATTCAAGCGCTTTAGTGTAAGTTTTGAGTCCAGTGTTGGATGCCTATACTTCTTTGAAAACCGCTCCTTTACAATAGATCTTCTTCCAACAAAGGTTGACTCGAAAACTCTCTGAATATGAAAGAAATAAATCATAGAATTAGGGATATTTGAAGCAGCATGGACAAAAGATCAAATTACTTGTCTCTGAAAACTTTTGAATAAAATTAAAACACAAAGCAAACATGAGTTGACACTATTTTGTTGGGAGCTCTTTGGGTAATGAAAGAAAGTCAGTCTTATTACTCATGTATCAAAGTTAGATATTTTGACAGAAGGAAACGATGATTAGGGGAGAAGGGAGGAGAAAGTATGACATGTAGTAAGCTCCTCTCCCCCCCCCCCCCCACACCCAGGAGTGGAAGTGTTTCTACCACAACAAATGATTCCAGAAGAATGGAGAATATAACAGCTCATGCTCAGAACTCTACTGGAGCATCGGATGGGACTTCTGGCCATCCATCTACTTAGTAAATGTTTTTTTTTATCCTTGATAAAGTAAATATATAAACTCACAGCTTCAGCGCCTTGCTTCAGCAGAACGAGACCCCTGTCTTTTTCATCAGCCTCGATCTCCATTACGGAAAAAACCAACTAGAAACCGAGCTTTTTCAAACTGCAGTAGCAAGAATGCGCCAATAGGTTAGAATGTTAGATCAAAAGAACAAGTTTAAATTTCCTACACATTGGATACTCCAACTTCCTTAACTCATATAAAATCATGATAACCTAAAGCTAAATTAAAGAAATAAAAGTCATGATAACCAGCTAATCAACATTAAACAACAAGCAACTATATTTAGAGTGACATAAAAATGAACAGTTTCCTCAAATCATAACATGAGCAATGTACAGCAGTGGTATAGCCACAGTCAAAGGACACCCTTACTCAGCCTTCACAAAGAAGGGAGCAGAAATTCAGAACACGGATAAAAATTATGACCCTCAACATCTAAGCAACATTTTAAAAAATCGTAGTTTTGCTACAAAAACTTGAAAGATCCTCTATACAGTTATAAATTTTGAATTGAGCAAAATCATGAATAATATTTAGACAACAACGATATACTTTGAACTTCCTGGCAAGAAGAAACCAAATATAAGTTGAAAAGCATAATTTCTACACATAACACAAGATATAATCTTTCTGGATTTCAGGACCCTAGATAGGAAGGTAGGCTGATCTATCACTCTTGATTTTATTTCAACCCTTGCAAGTCAAAACAATTCAAGTTCACAAGTTCACCAACTAGGTTCTTTAAAATTCTAAAATTATACTCTCGAAACGAATTAAAACACAGAGTGACAGCAATTATACTAATATAATATGCACTCATTTATTTTCAATGATCCACATAAATTAGACGACATAAGAACAAATAAATTTAGCAGTGTCAGAAAATTGAATTGGTGATCCTCAGCCTCATTTGGCCTATAACAGTCCCTGATTTCAAGGAATTAACCACCTTGAGGAAACCTATTTACAAAAAAAAAACCTGACAATAACAATAGATTAAGAAATCAAAACTATTTTTACTCTTTCTCAAAACCATCCAAAAATAATAACTACTTCAATATTTGACTGCATACATCCCAATTGATATCCTTAAATTACATAGCAAAACTAACCTAACTACATAATTACATAAAAAAATAAATTGGCTGGCAGATTTTCTGACATAGAGTTATAATCTAATACCCAGTAGAATCATGTTCATCTTTGTTCATTATCATGTTAATCCATAGGAAAGCTTAACTCAACAAAACCCATCAATATTTTTCAATAACAAAAAATAATTACATCATTTGAATTCATCAAATGAAATATGTAATTGATATGGGTTTAGCTTCAATTAGCGAAGTTAACTATAAAACATGTATCATTTGTGAATAATACCCCAGAAATTTCGCAAAATAGAGTAAATAAAATCTAATTTAAGCAACAAAAAAACCCATAATTTTTCAAGTCAAGAAAAAAAGGGACAAACCTGATGAATGTTGTTGAATTTGCTAGATTTTATTGAATGTGATTCGGTCGAATTGGCAATGGCGGAAGGAAGAGAGTGGGAGATACTAATACTCCTGTACTCTAAAGTATCCTTTGGCCAAGCTCTAATAGAGGTTTATTATACGAGGTAGTGTTAATTAAAAACTTTCTAGTTATCGATTCAAGGATAATAAGTCAATACAGGATAATAGTAGTCAAAGTTTTACTTTGACAAATATCTCATTTAGATGATTTGGGATGTTTGGTTAGGAAATGTTTGGTCGTTTGAGGCAATTAGACAAAAGATAGGTTTGATTAGATTAGCTCAAGCTTCTAATGTGAGTGTTTGATTGAGAGATAATTGAAAGAGGGTTTTGAGTCGAAAAATAATTTTGAAAAAACTAATAATAGGAGTTTATTTGTACAAGAGGTTTGTAGTAAAGATTAGTCCGTGCACGGCCTAAGCCCACGTGCCATCTTGTCGGGCTTGCGTGCCTAAGCAAAATTTCATTGATTATAGCGTATTTTGTCGTGTTAGGCCAGGCCGCGTCGTGCTTCTCCCAAATAAAGGTGAACCAAACCCGGTACGCACAATAACATGCCGAGCCGGGCCTACATTGTGTTCGTGCTGTGCCGTGCTTTTTTCGTGCGGGGTCGACCCGACCAAGTGCCATCTTTAGTTTGTGGTAGATGAGAGAAATGACTCCTCTATTATAAACTACTACCTCCATTAAATGTTATGTGCAACTTTTGCCAAAAACGGATGATCAAGGTTATGTGCAACTTTCTATTTTCTTTCCATTTTGAGTAAACAAAAAAGCTGGAAATTACTTATTTACCCTTACTTAAAAAATCTGATTTTCTTAATTTTACCCTTATCTTTATTTAATTTCATTAAGTTAAACCTAATCTGATTACACTAATCTAATGACTCCCTCTATTTATCATCCCATTTCCCCCCAACTACCCGCATTTACTCATCTTCCCAACCACCCAAAATTAATTGCGATGGATGGGTTCCCCTTTTTCTTCTGGAGAATTCTCCAGATGAACCAACCCTAGCTCCTGTTCTCCAGATGAACCCAAAATTAATTGATCGACGCTAAACAAAAAATTAAAAACTCCATATATTCTGACCTTATCAATACTTCAAAGGTTCATAATAAACAAGCAAATTGAACATATCATTTTACATTTTTACTTGGTATTTATTTTTTATAAAGCTGGTTAAACACAGAGAACCAAACTACCCAAGGAAATTCTTCACTAGAAGAGGTTTGATTTACCACAAGCAACAAAAGTCAAACATAATATAGTTCATAATTAGCCAAAGCCAAAAATGGAGCTCTTAATAGATTAAATGGCAGTAAATAAAAATCATATACCAACAATGACAGAGAATAGCAGAACTGAAAATTCAAGTCCTTGATCATTCAACATTACATATAATAGAAGTAAAATTTTGATTGGAGAATTATAAAATAACTATCAAGCGTTCATAATTTACCTAATTAACGGTGAAGAAGACAGCCAAAGGTACCGGTCCGCCAGTCGTACCGACTACCACCACGAGTCCACAACGCACGACACCAGTTACTGCTACACATACATGATAAATGCAGAATGAATGGATGATAATAAATTCAATAATCAATATCAATTAAACAGAAAATCAGAAATAATAATCAATATCAATTAAACAAAAATTATAGGGCTCAAATACTCAACTCAAATAGTCAAATATCCGGTCACAACTTCAGTTTCTAGTGGAAAAAGCCCCAAATCGGCTAATCAAAACCAATCTTCAGTTTCTAATCGGCTAATCATATTAATAAAAATCATTTGGGACTTATAATGAAGACAAAACTATAACAAAACACAGTCAAAACCAACCTTCAATTTCTAGAGGAAAAATCCCCAAATTGTAAAGTAAATTAGCGAATGAAATTCAGCGATTCACCGAAAAAAAATCCCCAAATCGTAAAGTAAATTAGCGAAATGAGACATTAAATCAGCGATTTACCCAAAAAAAACATTAAATTAGCGACCTCAGCGAAATTCAAGGACGTCGGACGGTCGGACTGTCGGTGTCGGAGCACCTGATGCCTGGCTGATGACGCGTCGCCTGGGGATTTAGGACTTTAGGGTTAGGGTTTTAGTATATTCTGTAGAGGAATCGGAGAATGTTTCCGAATCGGCTGTGTTCCTTCTACTGATTTCATAGCTGGAAGTGTAGTGTTTTGTCTTGAGAATTGAGGAAGCAGTATAATGTAGAAACAAAAAGAACAAAAAAAAAAGGTGTGAGTTATGGGTTTTGAACCCACAAAATCGTGTTTGATGGGAGGTAAAAAAAACCACTAGGTTACAGCTTTACTTCTTGACATATATCAACAAATATTTTATTTAAACCTTTTTAGCTTTTATTTTTTTTAAAAAAAAAAAAAAAAAAAAAATCAATTTTTTTCAAAATATCAGTGGGTTCAATGAACCCACACTAGATCCGCCCCTGATACCGCAACAACACAACCATGTTCAAAATTAACTTTGCAAAGTGTATCATTCTTTATAATCAAATGACCCGTTTTCAAGTCATACCAAAAGTGTCTATTTCTACCGCTCTCCAACAAAACTTTGCTCCGACACTTAGAATAACACAACGGCCTAATAACACTACTGGAGGAGTCATATGGAGTGAAAGAGAACAACTTAATCAATGAATCCATCACACGTACCATACTCTTTCATCACATATACCTCGAAATTATTAGAATAACGACTGAAACATAAGTCAAAACCTAGAACCTCTAAGTTGAAATTCTGCCCCTTATGCATCTCAACCGGTAAGGGCATCCAACACATTTTTTCTTGTTGAGGTATTGTAGTGAGTTTTTCTGATTTGTATTTCGGAATTAATAGCCAATGCAAGGAAACATTTAATTACTTACCACATGGATTTTGAAACCTACTAGTGTACTTAAATCTTGATTTAATGCTCTTCCAAGATCCACTTCTAAGACTATATAACCTAACATCTGTATTAACACTTAAACGCAATTGATAGGTTAACCCACAAACGACAGCTAATATCTTATAATCATCCCTTACACTATCACATCCGAACCCAACACAATACTGCTGCTTACTTTCATTTTCCAACCTTCCAAGGAAAGATCGCGTCGACGGGTTATATATAGTGATAACACCAGATCTAAAATCTTGGACCCAAATCATCCCATGACAACTGCCAACAGTGTACATTACGCTCTTATCATTATTGTTGTTGTTGTTATTGATCAATAAGTCGATTTCGAGCTTGATGAGATCGAAGATTGGCTCGGTAACTCCGTGACTATAAAAGTTAGAACCTTGTCGTTGCCCCATTAGAACGACAAGAGAATTGGATTGAAATCGGACGGAATGTTTGAGGTGGTAATCAACAAACAATGGACGGGAAAGGAGTGACAACCATGATTTCGAGACGACTTTGAATCGTAGAAGGGATTTAACAGGAAGACGGATTAGTATCTCCACTATCACATCCATGGGAATCATTGTGTGATTTCTTATGGCTTGCAACTTTTGGATATGGCTAGGGTAATAGGGTTTATATTGAGATATGAATGTATATTATAACTTTTGGAATGTTAGTATAAACGATTTTTAGAGTTTATAAACCCTAAAAATCGTTTATATTGACATATGAATGTATACTAATATCCAAAAGTTATAAAACCCTAAAAATCATTTATATTGAGATCAATGTTTATATTGAGATATGAATGGTTAGGGCTTACAACTTTTGAATATTAGTATAATTGTATAAGCGATTTTTTGAGTTTATATTGAGATATGAATGTATATTATATGATATTATATGAGATATTATTGTTATGATATGAATATATAATATCTCATAATATTATATAATATACATTAATATCTCACAATAATATCTTCATAATAAAAGATAAGACTTTTTCTTTTAAAAAAAATAAAAAAAACAAAAAAAAAATGAAAAAACCAATAAAAAAATATTAGTAATTGTTTGCTGTTTATATTAGTGAAAATTTTACAAGTAAACAAACTCATAGAGTCTTTGAGCAACTTCAATGGTTGTAGTTAGGGACTTGCTTGCAATATTAAATAATCCCTACCTACTAGCTTAACCATTGGAACTCGAAAATGCAATTTGCTTGGAAAAAAATTTGCTAAAATAAAACAAATTAGAATAAATAAAATGAAATTTATCAGCGTAAATTAAGGAGGTATGGTCCATTTATATAGTAAGCTATTAACTAACCATTGGAGCTAAAATGACAATTAGTTTAAAAGCTCATGTAGCATGACATGCTAATAGTCCATTGGAGTTACTCTTAAGATTAAAACTTCCACCCGTCAAATCAAAAAGAAAAAAAATATTAGAACTTCCAAATCTATTTTAATCAATCTTTTTAATATTAGGGCCAAAAAAAAAACAATACTTTACAAAATTACTCCATATTCCATCTTTCATGTATTCCATAGCAATACCCTGATAATAACTAATTAAAATAACTTTGCAAAACTTTTGTGTTTTAATCAAAATCGTAATAAACAGTAAAATCTCTACTTTCTTCATACCATTATTCAAACAAATTTAATTTCAATGGGAAATAAATTTGCTGATAGGCTTGGAAATCTTCCAAAACATCTAATTCATCATATTTATTCGTTTTTCGAACAAGGCGAGATGAGTAAGATGATGGGCACGTCAAAGAACCTATACAAACTTTGCTTTTCTATTGATTTTTTAGCGTTCGGGGCGTATCTTCATCATCCTTCTTCCTCGGCTCTCGATTTTCGTGGATTCGTCGAAAATTTGCTTACAAGTACCTATCAAGATACACCTTATACAATATTGAAATTAACTTGGCAAAGAGGTGAACAAGGAAGGGCCTTAAATTGTTACAAAGCGTTACCAAATTTATTTTTACCATCTATTCAAACTTTGGTGTTACGGTATATCAACAGTGGCGTCTCCAGGATTTCCGAAGTGTGGGTTCGGAACTTCGGAAGTTGGAATCGTAATTCACAAAACTCCCAATATACAAAAATCAAACCAATGAATTGGAAACTATGAACTATCAAAGTATCAATCTATCAATTAATTATTAATGAACAACTCCACAAGTATTCAAATTCAACTATTCAACTAAATAACTAATTGGTCTAATACTCTAATTCAATCAAATAATCAATTATTCAACAATAAAACAATTATTATATCATTATATCCCAAATTCCCAATCAAATTAGCAATTATCATTTACCAATAACTCATCAATAAGGCAATAAAGCATAACCGCAGACGGAAGACCCGCAGTAATTAAATTTTTTTAAAAAAATAGAAAGACAGCAAGTCAGCAACGCGATTCAACAATTCAGCAAATGCTATTCGCCAATTCGACAAAGACAACATTCACAATTTCACAGCAAGACATTAAGGGACAGCCGGAAACGGCGAAAGGCAAACTCACCAGGTCGGTAGCCGGCAGGTCGAGGGGTCGAGGCCGTCTGAGTGTCTGACGAACTGACGAAGTCAAAGAGTCGAACTGTCGAAGACCGATTGTTCGAAGTGCCGAACTACCTAACCAGTGGCGTATGGTGAAGGCTTGGCCGCCACTAATTCCGACACTTCAAAATCAACAATCAACACTTCAACAATTCAATAAACATTTCGACAATCAACATTTCAACACTTCAACAATCAACAAACAAGTAGTGAACTACGTGAAGTAGTGAAAAACAGCAAATTATTAAGGGAAACTGGGAAAGGGCGCAAGGCCGCAAGCTCACCAGACACCAAAACTGGCCGTCTGCCGTCTGGTTGTCGTCGGTGGAGCCTGGAGGCGTCGACGCGTCTGGGTTCTGGTGTGTGGAAGCCGGAAGGACGTTTGGCGTGGCGGTGAGGCGGTCTGGGCTAGTGGGTTGTGGTTTTAGGGGAGTTAGGGCTTGAGAATTTGGGGGAAATTATGTAAATCAGTAAATGTAAATCTGTTTTAAGCAAAAACCAAAAAAATTAAAAAAAGTGTGAGTTGGGAATTGAACCATTATATATTAACATAAAGATGTCAGGTAAAAATTACCACTGAGCTGCACCCGTACATCCTATCGTTTAGCAAACAGATATTCTATTTAACCGTATTTAAGTATTTGTTTTTTTTCTAAAAAAATAAACTTTTCAAATATTTTTTCAAAAAATCAGTGGGTTCAAAGAAAATAACGCTCCTCTTTCCGCCTCTCTCTGAGTATTGGAAGCAGCCACCTCTGCCGCCGCACCTTCCAGCCACCGGCCTCCGCACTCAAATCAGATTGTCAGGTAACTCAAAGCAGCTTCTGAGGTAAAGATAATTTCTTTTCAATTATCAAATATCAATTTCACAATTCACTGCTATTCGTTATACTTAATTTTCAGTATAGTCAATTAGGGTTCTTCTTAGGTCAATTATTGTAATATTGTTTATAATTGATCAGACTATTTTGACGTCATTTTTCGTGCTTACTTTGATGAATTGAGTTATATTTGCAAAATTTTGTTTTTATGTTTCTATTGCCTTGGCTCATTGACGACCCTGTATTGATTTATATTCTTGTTATTTATGTTTCTGGTTTTTTTTATTTAGTTTGAAGATTGCGAGGATTCGATATCACATAATTTAAGATTTTGAGGTCCTAATTTTAAGGGTTTTTTTTGACAAAATTATGATTTGTATAGGGAACTGATACATAGCATAGTTGTCAATTCATTGAGAAGGAAGGTATGGAGATAAAATTAGGGGACCACCCTTTTGACGTAGACTTTCATCCGTCGGATTCTCTTGTTGCAACTGGATTAATCAATGGTTACCTTCTATTGTAAGTAATTTTCCCTAGGTTCCATTTCTTTGGTGGTGCTTGTGATCAGTGTTTTGTCCACTCACTTGGTGGTTCCATCTTGTGTAGGTATCGTTATGCTGCTGAAGCCGAACCACAACGGTAGAATTTCTTGATTGTGATATGTTGTTTTAAGTGTTGTAATTCTAGCCTAGTCTGAGAAAAGAAGGGGGGGTTTATCCTTGTTATTTTTTTTTTTCCTTAAAAAAAGATAAATGTTGTAGTATGATATTGATTGCTACTCTTGCAGTTTGCTGAAAGTTCGTGCCCACAAGAAGTCTTGTAGAACTACCCGGTTTATCAATGAGGGACGCGGTAATTAAATCCTTCGCCCCCTCACCCCTTCCTCTCACCCCCCCTGCATCACAATGAATGGCCTTTAAATTGGTTGTATTGATGGTGCAGCAATTGTGACGGGATCCGCAGATTGCTCAATTCTTGCCACTGATGTTGAAACTGGAGCAAAGATTGCTCACCTTGAAAATGCTCACACGTGAGTCATCTACTTAAAGTTATTTGACTTTTTTGCATGTTTTTATATCCCAAACTAAAGCACTACTATACTTTCCAAATTCCAAAATTTAAAATGGTACTGATTTTGATGTGTACTGTTGTTCTCTTGAGAGAAAGGATATTGCTACGGTTCTTATTTTTGAAATCAAACTCAATGCAGAGTTGCAGTCAATAGTATAATCAATTTGACTGAAGCAACCATTGCCTCGGGGGATGATTCAGGATGTGTCAAGGTTCAAATTCACTTTCCCTTATTATCTTTTATAGTATGTTGTATCCTCATATGACAGGATATTTTTGTTTCATGATGGAAAAACGATTGAAGTTGATAAGTTATCCCAAGATAAAGAATCATTGACTTGTTGTAGTGACTAGAGGCCCAGTACACATGAGATGTTGAAGCAAATGTTCATCTGCTTTACAGCAGCAATCAATTGATCTTTTTTTATTTTATAGTTATTATGAGTCTTTGGTGCACATTTTTTAGGCTTTGTTTGGCTCCATATTAGTAAAGGAAAAGAAGAGAAAGGAAGGGAAGGGGAGGGGAGGGAGGGAATAGGAAGAGAAGGGATAGGAAGGTGATTTTATTTTCCAATATTTGGTTAATGAAAGGAAATGAAGGGAAAAGAAGGAAATTTATGATATATAACTTTTATTTTTCTCTTTCCAGTCGAATTCCTCCAATTTTGAGAGGAAAGAAAAGCTAAAAATTTGTAAAGGGACTTCCCTCCCACTTTCCTTCCTTTCCTTAAAATTCTCATGTCATTTATTCAACCAAACATGGGAATATGATTAAAACCATTTCATTTCTTTTCTTTTCCATCCAAATCTTTTCAACCAAAAAGGGCCTTAATGAATATATTTGAATGAGAAACCAAATCATGGTTGCTGGATGTTACACTGCATTTAGGAAGCAACTTGTTTGTAAAGAATCTGTTGCTGACTACAATGGTCTTCCGAATGAGCTGTAGGGTTCTAATTGGTCGAAATCTAAGAAATCTAATATATACTGCCAATCCCGCATTCTTTAGTGATATTTAAAAGACCAAGTTTATATGTTTAAGATGGTAAGATATATCTCCTGATATAAAAGACTGCTTAGGGGACAAATGTTATTATCAAAGGAAAATAGTTTTTTGCTTTGTGTTACACTTACTTAGTACATTTCGGACACTCTGTCATGCTATGAATTCCAATTCAGGACCTGTCTGTGTGTGTCTTAAAACTCATAAGTGTCGTTTCTGTTGGAAAGTACTTCTGGAGGAACCAAGTTGTGCTAACTGATCCCACACACTTTTTTGTTGCTTCCTAGATATGTTTTTTTTTTCCCCTACCAATTTACCGACAAGTACGTTGCTTTATTGATGTTTTCTTTGGCTTCATCCTTATCACATTTCTTTTCATCATTTTTCTGTACATAGTTATGGGATACCAGGCAACAATCTTGTTGTCACACTTTTCAAGTTCATGAGGAATACATATCAGATATGACTTTTGCATCAGATTCGATGAGACTTTTGGCAACAAGGTAGTAAACTTCTTCATCTACTTTGACATAGTTGGGAAGTGTGACATTTTGTTGTTTGATGTTTTGCTACTTGTATCATTATGCACGTTTGTCCATGCATTGCTTTGACCCTAAAAATCTTTAGTTCTATATTTGAATAAAATATAATAATTGATACTACAATAAAGGGGTTCCCTAGCCCCTGCATCTAGGTTATACGTAGCTTGCGGGTTGGGACGGAGTATAATTGATGTTTATGGGAATTAGCTACTCTAGCTGCTCAATTTAATCAATACTATGATATGAAACTTATGAGCATATCTTGCATTAGAAAAGACTTGGCTAGAAAATGGGGGTGTTGGGGATGTAAAGGCTGAAAGGAACAGTAACCAAGTGAATAGATCTTTTGCTCATAGGTATAGATCTTTGTGTTGTACATCTCTATTTTCTGACATGGTTTCATTTGGTTTTCTAGCGGAGATGGTACTCTGTCTGTATGCAGTATCCGGAGTAATAAGGTACTTATGCTCAGTTTATACTTCTAATGTGCTGTTTGATTTTGCTTGAGTTTGATTCTTGTGCTCTATGTTTGTTGATGGATGGAAGGTCCAAGCACAGTCCGAATTTTGCGAGGATGAACCACTGTCTGTAGTCATAATGAAGGTATTTATTATGTTCCTTTTTTTTTCTAATTTCTTTAGTTGATCTTTTCTGGCTTGCTTCTCTTGTTGCACCCTCTATAAGTTTGTTGGTTTTGTTTATATTCTGATTAATGAAACAATGCCCTTGAATGAAGTGTTCCTTAAATGCTTTTTATCAAGAAATATTCCTTCTTCGAATAATGTCCCTTCTACCTTCTGGTTCTCTGGTGGATTTATGTATGCTTGATTGAATTCATGCTTCTGTAGCTTTGTGGAGGTTGCATCTAGTAACTTTGTCTTAAGATTACATATGATCTGAAATTGTAGAAGAGTTTCTATTGACAAACCATTATCAACATGCTAACAACTCCAAGTATGGTGGCCTCAAACCTTGACATAAGCTTTATGTGTCTTACACTCTAGCTGGCTAGGAGAAATACAGTGGAAGGTAAAATAATAACTGAAGAAGATCATAGTTTTTGTGGGGATTGAGAAATCATGGTGGTAATTACAAGCAACAGATATTGTGTTTTACTTAAGTGGGTTCAAACACCTTCATAAGACCTCTAAGCACTTAATTGTAAGCCATTTCAAGGCATAGAAAATCCACGCGTAGTTCTTCCACCCGTGTGCATAACCTACATGTAAAGCGAGTCTTCATAGGGCAATTGTCACTGCTTATGGACCCGAACCTGGGTGATCTATCCATAACCTGGATGAAGCTTGGGTGAAACGGGATGTGCATGATTTATTACCTGATTTTCTATGTTTCTACTCTAAACTGTGAGCCTATTTTCTCAGAATGGCAGGAAAGTTATATGTGGGACACAAACTGGGACTTTGTTGTTATATTCATGGGGATTCTTCAAAGATTGCAGGTATGCTTTCTCATGCTTGATGGTTCAGGTTTTATTGTAGATGTTATAAACTATTTTAAGACTATTAACATATAGGTTCATATTTATGGTACCTTCAAAAAACTAAATATGGATATGGATTCCCTCTCTCTCTGTAGTGTCTCCTCTTCATGCTTTCCCATCTAAGCTCTAAGATAAAGGATGCTTTTTCAATCATTGTTTATTTCCTTATCTTAAACTTGTGTACGTGTGTGTACAGTGATCGATTTGTTGATCTGAGCCCTAACTCAGTAGATGCTCTCTTGAAGGTGAATAAGCACTGCAAATTTACCTTTCATTTCTGTTCTTCTAATTTGGCCTGTTTCACGCTAATTTTATTTCCTTTTACCTGATTTTAGTATGATGAAGACAGACTCATTACTGGATCATCTAATGGGCTCATCAGGTATATGATAGGGTTTTTGTTTGGACTCCCCTCTGCGAAAGTTATGGCATGACATGACATGAAGGTTTTTTCTTCTGCATTATACTGCAATAACTTTTCATTTTTACGTATTGACTTTGATTTATTACAGTTTGGTAGGCATATTGCCCAACAGAATCATTCAACCCATTGCTGAACACTCAGAGTATCCAGTTGAGCGTCTTGGTATGCTACCTCTGTGATCATCAAAAAGCTAGATACTCTTATAGTTACTTAAGTTAGAGCATATATATTTAAATATTATTGAACCAAAAAATTTATCTGATGTAATAGCTTATCATGAAAAAAATTGTCATGTATATTCATAATTAATAGTTGCATTGTCCCATCACCCCATAAGTAAGGATCTGCATTGGTGCCACTAAGAATGCCCTTCTTGAAGTGGGGGTATTTTGGGCATCTATACATCTTGTAGAAATGTAGCATTTCTTTTTGGATATCCCAGACTAGTATATGTGATTATTGATTCTAGACAGAAAGAATAAAGGGGTGTTTGGTTTGCGAAGTAGTTTGGGATTGGAATCAAGAATAAAACCAGGGTGATACATGGTTAGAACTTGATTCTTAATACCATGTGTTTGGTTTTGTTCGGAGATTAGCATATTTTGTTTTATTTCCTGAAGGTATGGTATGAGCCATACCCGCCTTTCCTTGGGTTTCTAAACCCCATACCTTGTGGATTTGAAGTATGGGTTTAGAAATTGCAATTTTCATAAACAAACACTAGGTATGGATTTCACCCATCCTAAAACCATACCTCAAACCAATATTATGCTAAACAAATACCGCTTAATTGATTACAAAGACTAAGTATGGTTTGCACATTAGTTTGAGATCTCTTGAAATTTGTTGCATCCAATCATGAATAACTCTTATATGACTAACTTATGATTTGTGGTTTGATCTTGTAGCTTTTTCACATGATAAGAAGCTTCTTGGAAGTATATCTCATGATAACACGTTAAAGGTTTGAACTCTTCCCTTGTCAACATCTTGTGTCACCTGCATGCATGTGGTAGCTATGCGTTTTATTCTTCCTTTATATGATATAAGTTGTTGGTCTTAAGCTATTGGTCTCAGGAGATGGTTGTGCATCACCATTGAAATGCCAGATTCTTAAAATAGACAAAACAAAATGAGATTTGTTTATACTTTTCCCCTTCACCCTCCCAAATAAAACAAAATAAATTTTGCTCTCCTTGTGCATGACCTGCATGTCTGACAAATATCTTGTTAAATAAAACTTCAAGTGCATAGAATATAGCTTTGTTTCAAATTTAAATATTTATTTTATCATACTTAAAAGGTAAGAATCATAACACAGTTGATTTACAGTTTCTACCTTTAGTTTTTGTGTTTTCTGTCTAGTCATTTAGTTTTACATTGTAGCTGTGGGATATGGATGAGTTACTACAAGGTCCTAGCACAGTGACAAGAAATGATACAGCTACATCAGACAGTGATAGTGATAGTGATAGTGATGGCATGGATGTTGATTCTGATCTTGCAAATGCTTCCAGAGGTAAGTATACTCCAATTTATAACAAACTTTTTTTTCTGCACTTTTTTGTTAAATTTGTTTAAACTGCATAGCTGTATTAATTCATCATGAGTATTACATGTATGGGATTACATCCTTAAAGAAACTAGCTTATAGTTTTTTTGCTCTTGGTAATCTGATATATTGATAGCTATGACCATAAGACACCCAAAGGCAACTGCATGGTCAGGCAGTGTTTGATTTGCTGAAACGCGCATAACTTTATTAACACACAAATAAACTCTACCTTGGTTTTCTGCCAGGCTGACATGAACCTGCACTTGCCAACACAGATTGAGAAGTAATATAAATTACCTACTTTATTGTTTTATTATTGATTATTTGAACTTTGATAGAAGCTTCTAGCTGAAAATAACACGAACTACATGTTCATACGTCGATTTCTCTTTTTCTTTTTAATATTGATTGTTTGATGTGTATTTATTGTAATTTACTGACTAGATTAACAAAATTGCTTTGTTTCTTGTGTAATCATTAAGTCAATATTTCCATGTCTGTTCAATTTTACTGGTTATCGTTCTCCCACGTCCACATATGCAACATAGATTGGTGATTGTTGAAAGTGCATCCTTTCGCTTTCGTTTTCTTTCAGGTACTAAGAGGAAGAACACTAGTACTTGCAATGGGAAAGCTTCAAGCAGTTCTTTTGGAAGTTTTTTCGAAGGTTTGTAACATTTTGCGGAGTATCTACAATGTGGACATATCAATCAGCGAATGTGTTGATGCCCCGTACTTGTCCTTAGATGTTGCTTTTGATGTGCGCGTCATGCTTCATATGGCAATTTTGTTAAGGTTCTAAACTTTTTATTATAATTATTTTGTTATAAAATACCGCAGAATTTAATGGTTATAATTTTTTATCCGTCCTACTTTTTATGATGTAGTAATCTGCTATTTTTGTAGTATTTTGGTCTTAAGTTCCCATTTAGGCTAATGTTATTTTCCTTTTCTTCACATCTGATAAGATGGAACTAGCTACATTTTCTCAAGTTCATTTCTCCAAATCAATAGATAGATATAATCATATGGTAAGCCTCTTACATTTAGCCAAGGCATTGTAAAGTTGCATTTCATATTGTGTTGACACTACCAAAGTACCAAATATATAATTTACTTCTATTATACTTCTGTTTAGTGTAGCATCTAAACTTTTGCTCTATTTCTTGTATGTGTTTTTTTTCTATATAACAATAGATGCTAAATATTAGAATTATTAATGTACAAAGTTAAGAATTAACAAGTGTAATTGTCAAGATGTTAACTGACGAGAAAGAAGGAAAATTTCTCTCAAAAAAAATGGAAAAGGTTCTCTTGAGAACTCATGTCATGAATTTGAGCTACTTAAGAGGCTAAGACCATGATCTGCAACTAGACTATTTCTACATGGTTTTTGAAATTTCATGATCTAGTTATATGACATTTGATATTTCATCAATAAAATGACATTTGGATATTAAGCAAATTAGCTAAAAGCCAATGATGACATAATTTGGATCTGCTAGATTATGCTGCAACTTTTGTTATCCAAAGTTTTGGTTGGCATTGATACCCCAAATATTGATCACTGAAAAAACTCACCCACTACTTAAATTGGCTTTAACTTGTATATGAAAAATACCCAGTTTTCAAAGCTTGCATATAAAATTTGCACCATAAACTTATTACATAAACCAAATTTTAACTTATGCAACCTAATTAAACATGAGGTGCTCGTTGTCTTAAAGTTTGCCCCATGTCCGTACTTTTCTTGGATCATGCTGCTGCACCAAGTTGGTTTACCTGGAAGACTTCGTTAAAGTGTTTACTACTTCCTAAAAGCTTTTTACAATTTTCAAAAATACGGCATTGTTAAATTTTCAAGTCGCCCTTGGTTGACAGTATCGACACTAATAACTTCCACACATTAACGAGCTTTATAACTCCGAATTTTTAATTTTAAAGCTAATCAATTTTTTAAAATACCATGACTTCAACATAATAGCAGAAAATCTACCAAAATTATATTGATACTTACACAATTCTAGTCTATCGTGCCCTGAAATTAATCACCTATGCAAAAAGCCATAAATTATACCCTTCCCCATTTCTCTTAAAAATAATCAGTACCATGCAACATAATATTTGGCTAGATATGTTACAGAGCAACAAAATGTGCAAATGCAAGTTTTATGAACTCCTTGTGCTAAGTTTGACTTGCCATTCAAAAAGCATTCTTAGAACCCTAAACAAAAGTCGAGCAAAGTAGAGAAAGACTAAGAAAAATGGTGCTTGATGTTCTTGTAGGTTGTAAGCTGCGACAAGTCCTTGTTGCCTACTCAATACACCTACACATAAGTAAATCCACGAATCTGTTCATAAGCCATGGATCTTGCTTGAATATCTTTGTACATCTTTCTTCCTGTAGGTACAAAGAGAATATTGGGAGCATATTAGTGAGATACGGAACTTTCATCATGTTAAAATAATCATCGGAGGAGGGATTAAAGCTCACTACCTTCAAACTAAATGAATCTCCTTTACAGCTCTCCTTCTCTTGCACTCTTTGATCGGCATCAACTCAAACTTGCACCTGTCAATAGCAAACATTGGAAAACAAGAATAAGATAATGTTAAAACCCAACATAGTCCCATTATACAAAGATGTAATATGTAATTAAATAAAAAATGAATTTTACGCCTCCCATTCAAGAGCAGATATGTTACTTTCACTATTATCACAGAAACAATACATACACCCTTCACCAATGCTAATTTCCAAAAAATTAACTTTTAGTGGTTTCATCTATCCAACATATTTTGCAAGACATGTCAATATTTGAAAGGGATCCGATGCAAGCACAAGAAGATGTGTTTCAGTTCCTAACTTTATACTAACAAACCTAACAAATATCATATATGACGATTTTTAGGCATCAAATAAAAAAATAATTTAAAATAAATAAATAAAAAAGAGTATCATTCTAGTCCTAAGATCAGAAAATACTAAAGATAATGTTTTGTGAGTTGAAGTTGAACTTCTTCAATTCAAATCCAAGAATTGAAATGCTAAAATTAAATTGCAAATCAAGTGTTCGGAAAACAATAACAATTTTTATTCCACCAGTGCTTTGTAGCATTTCACTCAGAAATGAAATCAGCTAGGGTTGCAGAGCATAATTGAATAAAAATAGTTACAGCTTACAAACTAATTATATTGTCAGGGATTAAGAAATTGGAAGATACCGTCCAAAACAAAACAAGTAGGAATTTTAGGCAGTAATTGACACCATTGTCAACATAAATACTACCTTTGTTTCTACGGTTCTTAACATTTAACTATTTGCATACAAAATTAAGCCAATTGAAGAGAGAATGTTGATGTGGTGGGTAGACTGCATCACAATGTCTTACTGCAAGCTACCACTGGTGGGTTAGATATGGAAATTTCTACCAAAGACATACTCAAATCTGTATTTAATTCTTTTAAATACAAGAAAACTCCAAAAGATGAGTAGGGACACAGGCTTAATCTTCGCAAGGAGAGCTCAGACACAGGCTGTGTATCTGACACCCAATGAGAAGGTAGAATGCAACATAATTAAATGTCCTTTAAGAACAAGAATTGGAACAAGACTAACCTATTTGAATACTACAATTTACTTTCAACAATTAAACTTTATATAGAATTTGGGACTGTAAAACTCAAATTTGTTAAACCTTGATACTATGATGCCATAATCAAATTGGAGCCTATTACTGCTACGTTACTACCAAACAAAACAAAGCAAGAATAACGATCACTAGAGAGAAAAGGAATGCTTTTACTTTAATTAAATCCACTTCCTAATGAAACCAACAGCTCAAAAGTCAAATTACCCCCTTTAAACATTATTCTAGGCTTTTTCACGAGTCCTCCTTTGATGAAACATTAATAGTATGCTTTAGTGATAGCTGTTCACAAGACAAAGTAGCCAGTACCAACAATTCTAATTCCTAAATTAATACGCAATTGAACTTTGGAAGGAGTAGAAAAATTACAAGCAGCAAGGAGAAGAAAACTTACAGTTGGGGTGGCAAGAAATAAGCCAGCTTATAGTTTTAGCTCTGATCACCAGAACTTGGCCTACGCCCACCACGGCTACCTCGGGCACCTCGACTTCGTGTCATTGGCACTCGCCCTCTCCTCGCAGCAGAAGAAGGAGTGGAATCTGGTGCAGGGGAACGTCCAAGCCTAGCTGCAGCCCGCTCCTTAGCTCTTTCAGATATCATTATAGTTGTTGAGCTTGCTCTCATATGTGAAGGCTGAGTTGCTTCCTGACTAGCCATCACATTGGGACTATCTTCTCTGGAAATAGAAGATTCCACAGAACTCAGATTACCTTCAGCAACACCTAAACTAGTTTCACTGGTAAGTTCAGCATCCCCAGCAATTTGATCGTTGCCTTCAGTAGATTTATTTGAATCGTCAGCAACATCTTCAGCTAGTTCCCCTTCTTCAGTCTGATCATTAGCATTTGAAATCTCAGGAGAATTTATTTCATTGATTTCTGCATTGACAGCAGCTACAGGATCATCATCATTTGGAGCTGGAGATGGGATAGAAGCTGCAGTTGAATGATCAGGCTGAACTTCAGATGCATCTTGAATTTCCACAGTAGCTGTGTCATCTCCGCCATCAAGGTCAGAACCTTCTGGGAGCATTTCTCCTTCTTCTCTGTCAGCAACATCAGCCATCTGCTGATTAAAATCCTGGTCAGCCTGCAAATTTGATGATTCATCTAACATTAGATCAGCCTCACTTGGCTTCTCAGCATGCTCTTCATCAACGATTTCACAATCATTCTGTGCATCTGCTAACTTTTCCTCATCTGGATGATTAGATTCTCCAGGCTCCTTTCCAAGTCCTTGAAATGGTTCAAAATCATCCTTGCCAAAATCAGAAGCTTCCTCGATAGCATCTTGAGGCAAGAAAGCAGCTGCATCAAGTAATTCTTCAACTGTTGGAACAACTTCAACATTATCAAGAGCAGCAGAGGTTGCTTGAACATCCTCTTGAACAGGTTCTAAGCCCTTGGACTTTTTAAGAGCAGGCACAGGCAAATCAGAACTAGAATCTCCAGGCAAAGATGATTGCTCTTCCAGCTCAGAAGGAGATGGAGAAGCAGGGCGTTTCCGAACAAGAGGTTCACCGGACAAAGAGACAGAGGGCTGCGCTACCAAGCTAGGCCTCCCCATATTCTTGCCATCCAACTCTGACATTTCAACATCACGCTGGGCATCTTCAGATTTAAGAAGTCGAGGTCTAACCAACTTCCTCCCAGTTTTTCGTGTTTCAACCATGGTTTTCATAACTCTCTTCTCTCTTTCTTCAGTTACTTTTGTGGGTGGGCAAGTTGCAGAAACCATGGATGAAATCGTACTCGAACCTTCAGCAGGCACTGCCTGAGAGCTACCAGCTACAGATGGAACTGTATCTGTGGCTGAAGAGTTACTAACAACAGCCTGGTTCCGTATGTCATTGAGGACTGAATTGGCTTCCCTTTCAAAGTTTTCAACAGCCAACACATATGCAGAGGCCATATCATCCAAGGTAGTTCCAGATAAAAGCTGTACCACTGAAGTACCCTCAGGAAGGCTGTCCTTCGCATTTTTGAGCTTTTCAAGCTCATCTGAAATCTTCTTCAGTGCCTCCTGATGCTTGCCCCATTCATTTTCAAACTTCTCTTTTTCCTGTTTAACAATACCAGCTTTTGTAGTAATAACTTTCTCATAGTTCATACGCCTACCTTTTTCTTTCTTGGTATCTTCTCTCAGTCTACCCACAGTATTCTCCAAGATCTGTATCCTGGCATCCTTTTCTCTCGCTGCTGGGTCAGCAGGGGTGTCTCCTGTGGATTTCTTCTCCTGACGAAGATCCTCCAACTGTTTGGAGATAGCTTGCTTCTCTTTGCTAGCTTCATCCTTCTCCTTGTTCAGCAGTTCCTTTTCTTTTGCCCATGATTCTCTTTCTTTTAAAAGTGCTTCCCTCTCTGTCAAAAGTGATTCCTTCTCTCTGAAAAGTGCTTCCTTCTCTTTGGAGAGTGTTTCCTTCTCTTTAGAAAGTGCCTCCTTCTCTTTGGAAAGTGCTTCCTTCTCCTTCAAAAGCATATCAATCCTTCGTTTATAAGGAAGAAAAGCCTTCTTCTTATGATCCGCATCTGATTTCAAACTAGCCTCTGCTTGAGAAAGGCGGTTCTCCTTTTCAGTTAGGTCCAGTTTGATTCGTGAAAGGTCTTGCTCTAATTTTGTTATTATTTCTTCTTTCTGAGAAACAAGTTTTCTCGTTTCTTCTATCATAGCATCCTTTTCCCTCAGACTGGCCTGCAATTGATCAACCTCACTTCTCAGTCGATTATAGTCCTCTAAATCAAAGCTTTTGGATTTTTCAAGCATATCGGAAATCCTGCTTTCCAAAAGCTCTTTCTCTTTCTTCTGCAGTTCATTGTCTTTCTTGAGGGCTTCAGCTTCAAGTTCTTTCTCTCTAAGAAGGTTTTGTATATTATCAGCCTCAGCTTTAGCATTTTGCGCAACTTCCCGCAACTTCTGACACTCCTCAAAGTTATACCTGTTCTCCTCTCTAAGTTGCATATTGCTCTCCCGCAGCAAATTCATTTCACTTACCTGAAGTTTCAAGGCCTTGAACTCATCCTCTGAGAACATCAAATTTCTTGAACTTGCACGCTCTGCACTACGTGACGCTTCTGCTGCCTCAGCTGCCTTTAGAGCTCTTTCAAGTTGAGACTGAAGACGCATTTTCTCCTATTTCCAAAGATATCATAGTATGTTTAGCAAAATAGATGATTTTCCATCAAAGACACATAAAAGGCTAGAAAAAATGAAATCGATGAATAAACACGAAAAATCAAACATTTAGGGATAGCTGGCAAACCTGTTTTAACAATGAAATCTCAGTTTCTGCTATCTCCTTTGAACGCCGGAGATAGCTAACTACGCTGTGCAAGCCATCATCACTTTGTGAATCGGCACCAACACCTGCAGAAGTTACTCCACCGGCATCGTCTTTCCCAGCTAATTTCATGTGCATTGCCTCAAGTTGACAGTGCAGGACTTTATTTTGATCATTAAGCTCATCATATTTCTTTGCAACTTCACTCCTTGACTTCTCCATCTCTGACTTCTCCACATCCCACTTTGACTTGAGCTCGTCATTCTCAGATTTGTAAGCAGCAACAGTTTTCCGAAGTTCGGATGCTTCCTCCTGAAGTGAAGCCAAAGCTTGCGAAGTCTTTGTCAGCTCCTGTATAGTTTCAGATTGTAACATAACCTGTCTTTCATAATTAGCTTGAGCTGCAAGTGCTCGTTGATGCTCCCTCTCCAGATCATTTTTCAAACCAGTAACATGGACTTCCAGAGCCTCAAGCTGAGAAATTTTATTTAAAGTTTCTTCCTTCAAGCAGTTAATTTCAGCAAAAGCAGATGCAAGAGCTTCATCTTTCTGAGCAGCTACAGAGGCCACTTCTTCAGACTTCAAACTAGATTCATTTTCAAGTTCATGAACCCGATCTCTGAGTGACTGAATTTCTGCTTCAAGAGTCTTCTTCATTTGTTCAGTCTCAATCCTGAAGTAATCATGAGCACCTTCCATCTGTTTCAATGCAGCATCATTCACTTCTGCAATGCTCTTATACTGAAGCATGTGGTCTTTGCTGGCTTGAACTTCTGCTTTTAACCGTTCAATTTCTTCCCTGAACCCTACATCCCCTAAGCTCTCAGTTGCTGAAGATGACGAAGGTTTCAACCCACCGTCTTGCTCAGCAACCTTATATTCAGAGGAATTCAATTTTCTTTCAAGATCAGCACATCGTGCCTCAGCCACAGCAGCCCTGGCCTCAGCAGCTGTAACAGCTTGCAATGCTGCGGCTAATTCTTTACCCAAATTTTCAATTTGTCTCCTGCCATCTTTAATAGTGTGATCATGATCCAGTGAAAGAGTCTGGACTTTGATCTTTTCCTCCTGAAGCTCCTTCTTGGCCTCAGCCCATTCTCTTTCAATCTTTTTTATGTATTCTTCCTGCTTCCGCCTCTCTTCAACTCTGGCTTCCTCATGAGCTTGCTCTGTACTTTGTATGGTATCCAAAGTAGCTTGGAGTCTATACACCCTCTTAGACAAATCTTGAACTTCATCCTGAGCTCTTTTTTCAGAGTTCAAAAGCAGTTCCTTTTCATGCTTTAGAACAGAAAGTTCCATGTTCAATTTCCGTGAGAGCTCCTCAGCTGTGTTCACAGATTCAGCAGCTTCCCGCAGCTTTTTTTGGTAGTCAACTATGAGCTGAGAGAACTCGACATTCCGTGATAAAACTCCATTCATTTCCTGCCTTTGATTATCAAATTCTTTCATAAACCTCTCAAGTTTCTCTTGGGCAAAATTTTCTCCTAAGGCAAACTTATCTCTCTCAGAACGCAAGGTTATGATTTCAGCCTTCCGATTAGCTAATTCATCTTCAAGGCATCGCAGACGTTCACTGGCCTGCTCTTGAACCTTCTTTGTGGCTTCCTGGGAGCCTTCTAGAAGCAGCATGAAGTCCTTCCTACCATCTGAAGGAGGTGGTTCAATAGATACATGTTGGGAAGAAGAGCGGAGTCTATACTCCTCCTCATACAATCTCCTGTACATAGCCACAGATGAGTGAAGTGAGTCAATCATTTGTCTTTGCTCTTCAGCTCTTTCCAGAACTGCAGCAACTTTAGAAGCTGCCTCCTCCTTGTGCTTCTGGAGCTGCTCCTCATATTGTTCCTTTAGCTGCATTTCTTTATTCTCAATATCATCAGATAGACTTCGTACTAAGCTGCGAAGCTTGGCATTTTGTTCAACCAAGCCCTTAATATCCTTAATAGACAGCAAGTGCTCAGAAATAACCTTCTGAGCGCCAGATTCATCGTCAATGTCAGACAAAGGACCGGCAATATCATCATTCAGGTACTCATGGCTATCAAGTCCACAACGCAGTTGTACATCACGGCATTCTTTTAAAAGGATGGTAACCTGAGTCTGAAGATCCCTAATCTCCTTCTGTGCATATTTGTACTCACGCTCATGCTTTTTTACTTCTGCCTTCAATTCACGGATAACTTTATCCAAATTGGATTGCTCTGAAAGAGATTGTTGCAGCTTATGATTCATCACAGCATAAGCTTCAGCCATCCTATCATGTTCTGCTCGTTCATCCAAGATGACAGAAGCCTTCTCCTCTATTTCAAGAAGAACCCGCTCCAAAATAGCTTGAGTTTGCTTTCTGCCTAACTGCTCATGTCGCAATGCATCTGCAGCTTCCTGATATTTAGTGTACATCTTAGCTAAACTCCAACCTTCCCGGAGTAGGGACGCTGCTAGAGCTGTTCCTGAGACACCTGTTAACCAAACATTATACTCAGTACACAGGAGACTCAGCAGCAAAATGGAACATACCATGAGTCCATGACAAACAGAAATGATAATTATTCACCAAGAAATACACAATGTGCACATTCAAGTAAATTGGAGACTTGGTAGCAAAATCGAACATACCTTGACAAACAGAAATGATCATTCATCACCAGTAAATACACAATGAACAATAATTAAATAAAATGCAAATGCACATTAAGAATACAATAAAGTAAAATTGATATAACTTTCCTTTGAAATACTAGTTTCAGTGCCCACACTGTAATTCACTCCAGCTTGCTCCATGCTAACAGAATATTAAAAGAGGTGTGGAGACATTAACCAAAAAACCCAAATGGATGCAAATGAACTAACAAACCACACCTACTAATACTCATCGCATTAACTTGACGGCCCGTTGGTAACCGGTCATAAACAATGGTAATGACAATGAATCTGTATGTAAATTTGGAAAGGAAATCAATGTTCATTCCCATGATCATTCAAGATGAGTCCCATATTGTTTATTTTTCTTCCTAAATCCCATTCCCACCTAATACCACCTTCCAAGTGGTAACGGATGGTAATGGTAAAACATAAAGAAAACACATGCTTGGGGATGAGATTGTGTTCCAATGGATATTAATAGGTTTTTTCCATACTAGATTACACTTAAAATTCATTCCCATTACTGCAATTTATTTCCAGCTATCTACCAGGCCATAAATGGGAAAAATATAATGCCTCTTCTATACTCCTCACTGTTAACACACACACACACACACACACACACACAAAAGTTGGGGTTGAATGATGCAACGCTATGCATGTTGAGGCATATTTATGGTTAAAACAAGAGAGAATCTGCAATGACAGATTCTCACAAGATTCATAATGAAACGTCGATGATAAGGTGAAGAATTGATTGAGGTGGCTAGGGCATAACTATGCCAACATCAGGAGATGGGAATCATGGGATGCCATTCCTAATAATAGTGTTGGGAGAAAGGAAATATTAGTAGAAACCAAGGACGACCTAGATGGAAGGGCCAAGGGGAGCAAAGGACATGAAATCATTGGTGTCCAGGATCACATTTCAGTAGACAGGAATGGAAGAGTCACATGAGGGACAAATGAAGATGACCATCAGGTCCATGTGAGCGACTCATGGGGATGATCTTTTGCAGTCAAGACCAGTCATTCTTGTAGTATTCATGAAAACATATAAGCCCCGTCGTGCTTGACTAACTTTGACTAATTCCAACTAAGTCATGTACAAAATAGTTCAGTATGTTAAATAAGTTTAGGCTATGTCTGAAACAATACCTGAAAAAAGACTTGAAACAGATAAGCTAATTGAAAGTGATAAGATAGTTGATTACATCTGTTTTTATTGTAGCTTAAATTTTCTAAATAACTTTTTTGAATTTAAGAATATTTCAGCACCTTTTTTCTTTTTTTATTTTTCCCTTGTACTCAAGGTAACATCTCAATTTAAGTCCATTTTATCACCTCAATATTTACTTAAGGTGCTTGCAAAAAAAATTCTAATCATTTAAGATGCCTTAAGCTTTCATCACCTTATCATTTAAGGTGCCTGAAAAATGTTGCCAAAGATAGCCAAGATCAAACAAGATAAATTCAAATAGTTTACTTCCAGAGACTAGTTTTTTTTTTAGATAAAATTAAGTTCATGTGAGATGAGTGCAAACAAAAAAGAGTCGCATATAATGACTTGAGACCAATTCAGCTGCTGATGGTACCTGATGGAAAATTTCATCTCAATATAGAATAAACAACAAGATTGAGTGATACCTGCTGGGACATGAGGTACAATTGCTAGATTATCTCCAGTAAAATCATTTGTGTTGGAAGGATATGTCAAGCGTTCGGTGGTAAAGCTACTCAAAGGGAGAATATCCAGCTCGTTATCTCTTCTACTTGACTCAAGTTCGGCTTCACATTTTTCAAGTTTCTCCTTCAACTCCGCAGACACCTTTTCCACCTCCTTCCTAGCAGCAGTTTCCTTCTCAAGCTTGTCTTTGTAATCACTTTCAACTTGACTTAAATGTGTTTCCAAAGCCTTTATCACGCCCTCCAACTCTCCAGCCTTTTTGGACCACTCCTCAGAACTTTCCTTGTACAGATCAACAAGTTTGGAAACTGTTGAAATTTCTGCTGCATATTGTTGCTCGGAAGCAGAAGCATCATCTCGGGCTGAACATAATTCTCGATGCAAATTTTCTACCTTTGATTCAAGCTCTCTGACCATCTCCTTATGCCTACTCAAAGAGCTAGAGCATTCGTTGTACTGCTTTTCCATATCAGCTAATTTCATCGAATAATCTGCCTCCATGTCTGCACATTTCCTACGCTGCTCCAGCAAACTATCAACTTTTGCTGTCAATTCCTCATTAAGCCAAGTGTTGTGCTTTTCAATAAGCTCCTTCTCTCGCGATAGTTTGTCACAGTTAGCCCTACAGCGCATCAACTCGGCCTCAAGCTCACTCAACTTAGCTTCCCTCTGAGAAGAACGTTCTGTCAAGCTTGTGATCTTGTCATGATAACTCTTGATAGTAGCCTTTTTCTCACTGATCTCTTCATCCTTCACCCCTACTAATTCCACTACTTGCCTCTTCGAATTTTGCAGCTCCTTCACCTCTATTGATAGCCTTTCAATCTCTCCATCTTTTTCGATCTAAGACAAGAAACAATCAAGCGAAATCAGAAATGTCCTAAATCAGTGGCAATGGCAAAAGCACAATTTTTGCATTGCCATTTAACCAATTCTCCCATTACTGTCATTTCAAAATACACTTAGCGAAATACGAAAAGTATATACTTACATATACCCTTGTCAAAGGAGGAAATTGGAAATTGAGTTCTAAGCAATCACATGATCAAGAAGAGCATAAACAATATAGAACAAGTATAAACCATACCAAGTACTTGCAAAATTCAAGAAAAATCAACTCACTTCCTATGTCATCGATGTACCGAGTATGCTATTATATCAAAATGAATCGCCTTCGAATTTCAGCTGCCTCTACTAACTAACCCTAAACTATGTCTACGTTTTAACTAAACATGCTTGCTATTTTCCACGATTGTCAATACTAAAATTACTGAAAAGAAACATCTCAACAAAGAACAAACACGAAATTCAACTTCAATTTCTCTCAGCTGTAAGCATATTCCAAACCCTAATCAGCGAAAAAAATCAACACAAAATCGCATAATAATAGCAATTAATTCAAAAACAACATTAAATCCATATATCACAACATAAATTACAACAACAAGAACAAAAATAAGGTGTGATTAACTTACGAATTTAAGATGAAGCTGGTGTTTATCAGACTGAACTTGAGCAAGCTCCGAAACACGATTCTGCAAATTAGAATCAAGCTCCGAATACCGAGTTTCGAGAGCAGAGAACTCGGACGACAGTGAAAGGTATTTGTGCTCAAGGAGCGAGCAAGTCTGCTCGTCAGTAATGGAGGCGGCATCGGCTTCGGCTTTGACGGTCTCGAGGTTCGCGTAGAGGTCGCGAATGTAGGAATCCGCCTTCTCCGCCACCGCAGAAGCGTCGCCGGAGGCTTTGAATCGCTCGAATTCGTCGTCGGAGAGGAATGACGGCATGATTGATGCTTGCAAATTCGGAAATTTTTGGAAAGTAGGGTTTTAGATTGATGGAATTTGGGGGTGAGATTTGGTTGAGAGTTTTCTGGGATCGAACATTTGGGAGGAGGAAAGAATGGAGGAGAGAGAGAGAGCGGGAGAAGAAGTGTAAGGGTTTTGCGAAGAGGAGATTTTTGAAAGATGAATTTTGTATTGGAATTTGAAGTTCTTTGATTTAGGTGTTGCTAATGGTCATTTGGTCATGTTGGGTTGGGTACGGGCCTAGGGACGCTAATTAAGTTGAGCAGTTTGTGAGTAACTTGAACTCGAATTAGTCAACGCTCGGTCAAAACTCGACTCGAGATGTAAACGAGCACGAGTTGAGCAAGCTCTAACTCGACTCGATAAGTTTATGAGCAACTCGATAATATATTTTATTAATATAAAATTTACAAACAAAATAAAGTTACCATGTTTAAACAAATTTGACACTTAATAAGTGTTAATTTATATTATCAAAAAAGAAAGAGTTAATCTTTAATAATAAATATACTACTATAGAAATAAAATTAAAAATTAAAAAAAAAAAAACAATATAAAGTGAACAAAAAAAAACAGGCATATAATTATAGAAGGATCAAAACTTTAACGAGCAGATCGTGAGCTACTCGACTTGACTCGAAACTTTAACGAGTACGAGTCGAGCAGGTTTTATTGGCTCGAAATTTTAGCGAGCACGAGTTGAGCAAATGTAAAAAGTATTCGAGTCGAGCACTCCTCAACTCGTGATCAACTCGCTCGATAAGCACCCATATACGGGCCTATTGTAAGTTCAGATTAGTCGAAACTGTAATTATTTGGTTATGCTTGTTAGGACTAGTTATGATGTGGGATATTGGTTGATTGGTCAGGTTGGGTTGGGTGCAGACCTATCGATTACTATCATTGTGAACGAGCAAGTTCAAAATAGTCGAATACTTAATGATTTGGTTATGATCGTTACGGCTAACTATGACGTGGCTACATTATTTACTATGATGGGATATTAACTATTAAGGGAGTTATGCGCAAGGTTATTGATTGGATTTAGTTTTGAGGTTATTATTAACATTCTAAAACTTAACCATTAACATTATTCATATAAAATTTTTCATCATTTTTATCCGGCAATTGGTTATCTTGTACTATAATTAGATTGGTTTGCATTTGAGGTAAAGTTCATTTATAGTCTTTAGGATTGTTTCGATCCACTTGCTTGACTTAGATATAACCACATTCATTAGGTTTTAAGTTACTTTAGACAAACCAATTCATTTTCAAACCAACTCGAATGATGTACACTTGTAGCAAACATTGTAGCATCGATCTACATAATTGTCGCGGGTGGGCTTCCCACGAGGTTGGAAATCTTGTTGACATGTTCGTTGAGACTTCTACTATTGCTAAGTTGTGTTGTTATTAACTATAATGTTCGTTGTAAATTTAAGAAAGAAATATGATACATGTATGAAACTTTTAATCACGTTTGTCGTGGTACAAGGTGCAACGCCTTTTTGGTCTATGATCATTGTACAATTCTTTTGAAGGGAAAAAAAGTCACATAACTTACCAAGTCCCCACACACACACCTCAAAAGTACACATTTGGTCATCAATAACATTTTTTTTTCTTTTGAAATTGTTGGTTAATATCAACTCTATTCATATTTAATATTTAACATGGGTACTAATTGAGTGAGTTGATCGAGGGTTGAAAGTGCTCGACTCATAAACTTTAAAATTGTGCTTGATTATATCTTACTTGACTCATGCTTGTAAAAGTTTCAAGTCAAGTAGAATAGCTCACAAGTTCGTGAAAGTTTTGGTCATTTTAGAGTTTTAGGCCTTAATTTTTATAATGCCACGTGACTTTGGTGATATATTTTATAAATAATTATAAAATATACGAAAAAATTAATATTTTTTTAAAAATAAGTTAAATGAATAGAATATAAAAGAGAGAAGACAATACAAAACTAGAATTCCAAAGCCTAAATGAGTTTTAAAGTGCACATCTATCCAACTATAGGCTTGATATTTGTGGTGTCAAGCAATTGCCAGCGAAAACTAGTGTAACACCCTCGATTTTCTAACTAATAATAAAAAAGATATGAATGATTGTAAATAACCTTAAAGTAAAACAGTGAAAATATAAACCCAAATTGGAGGTATTATTGTGCACACTTGACAGTGATGTATCAAGTCTTAAGGCTTAAAAAATCTCAATTAATACAACTCAATAAAACTAAATAAGTTATCTAGCTATACAACTTTACAAACTTGTTATAAAACACTAGTCAAACCACTTGAGTTCCTTTAGCGAAAAGTAGCGTGTGAGTTATCATGTCATGTAGGTAAGGTCAACATACTCAAATATCAAAGTTATTGTGTGTTTGGACTTAAGTTTTTAACTAAGATTTAAAATATCAATATTGTTATTGTTTATTTGAGCTTTAAAAATACTAAGTCACCAATTGTTATTATTAGTACTAGGGCAGCTAATGCACGCGCCATAGCTAGTCACGTCCGAGGACTCGGGGAACTCTTTCAATTTAGACCTACGTCAAAATTTTAGTTATTGACAAATACTTGGTGAATAAATATTTGAGGGTATAAGTGTCCAAACACTATTTATAAAGAGTTATTTCAAGTTTTTTTTTAAAATATTAGGATTTACTTGAGTTTTCAAACTTAATACTTAGGCTTTAATATTAATTAAGATCTAATATTTGAAATGGGAATAAAGTATAAAAGGGATAAACACAAAATATTCATCTCAAAAAAGAGAAAAAAAAATGTTAAGTGATGTGCTAATATGCGACTATGGATAACAAATGATCAACTCCTTTTGCCTATAAAAAGTTAATTGTTTTCCATACACATAATGAGTTTTTAAGGAGATGATTGATGACACATAACGGTCATGTGATGCCAAATCATATTAAAAGAACAGTGACACATGGCGGGCCTATAAAAAGTGAATTGTTTTCCATACATATAATAATGAGTTTTTAAGGAGATGAGTGATGACACATAACGGTCATGTGGTGCCAAAACATATTGAAAGAACAGTGTCACATGGCGGTGGCATGATGTCCCTTTGAGTTTTAATAATATTGTTATAAATGTGTAGTTTTATACTATCAAATATAAATTGTAAGATTACTTTCAATTATAAATATTTAATAAGTGAAGGAGTCCTCTTGGTGTGGCTGCATAGGAGGTCAACTTGCATCCTCGAGTAGGGGTGAGCACGGATCGGATATCCGATCCGAAACTGGGTTTTGGTTCGGATATTTGTATCCGAAAATTCCTATATTTGATATATGTATCTGATCCGAATTTTTCAGATATCCGATAATTTTCTGATCGGATAGCTCGGATATCCAATATCCGACCCATATAATAATATTATATAAATAATAATTAAATGGTAATTTTTTTTAAAAGGCGAATTAAATTAATTCTACATCAATTCTATAAAAATAAATAATTCATTGCAACTGTTCTAAAAAAAAAAAATCATTACAACTACTTTAACAACCAGAACAACAAGAAAAAATCAAATAATTTTTTTTAAAAATACAAAAAATAATTTTCACAAATTACAAAACAATAAATTATACACAAACCAATTACAAAACAAAATTTTTTCACACAAATCTAAGTACAAAACAAAGAAATATTAATTGCCATTGAAATGAAGTTGAGAATAGGGTCGTCGTCGGTGTTGTGGGTTGGAAGCTCGAGGGAACAATGACCCGAACGGTCGCGGTTGTTATTGCGGTTGTTGATGATGACGGTTGGAGGATGGTGTTGCATGGGTCGCCAGTAAAGCAGCCGTGAGGATCGAAGTAGAGATCAAAGGAGGAGAAGAAGATGAAAGAGAAGATAGAGAAGGGTGGTGGGGTTGCAGTCCTTGCTGAGATGAGTGAGATCTAAGAGGATGATGAAAGAGAAGAGAGAGAGTGGCGGTGAGGATGAATTACAGAAAGAGATTTGAGAGGAGAGAGAGAAGGGCGGTGGGATTCAAGGGTTTTGATTTAGGGTTTGTTGGTTTGGGCATTTGGGCCTTTAGGGGTATTTGGGCCTTCGGGGTATTTAAGGTTTGCTGTTATCTGATATCCGATATCCGATTTGTTCGGATCGGTTATCCATAATTTTCGGATCGAATATGGATCGGATTTTCGGATTTTCAAATAGTTTTGCTTAGCCCTATCCTCGAGGTGGGAGGTTCGTCAATTTTTTTTAAGTAACTAGTTTTTAGACCTAGGCAATGCCCTGAGTTACTGCATTATTACATAAGGTTCACTACAAGAAAGTTGTCTTTTCGTAGCGATTATTTCGTAGCGATTGAACATCCGCTACAATATGCACATGTGTTTGTAAAATAGTAGAGGAATACGTATCATTTTACAATCGACATAGTAAACCCATATGAAATCGATACGAAAAACATAATAATATTTATTCACCTTTTTTCTGCGCATTTATAAAATTATGGAAAAGCGTATTGTTTACAATCGCCACTAAAACCCATAAATCGATACGAAAAGCCTTTTTTACACTATATTTTAAAATTTTGTTTGACAAAGAGAACATAAAATATATCATAGCTTACTGGATAAACATTTCATATTAGAGCTTGAGGTTGCATGTTCGAATCTTGTCTAGTTATTTTTTTTTATTATTTTTTTTTTGTTTTGTAGAAAATGAGTTCAACATTTGTAGAGATTATAGTCGCTACAATAATCACCATGATTGAATGTAGTTTTCTGTATTGATTAATGAGGACAACCCCAGTGAAAGCGAAAAACCCTACTAAAGGCTATGGTAACAACGAATATTGTATCGAATAACCATTCGTTGAGATTTTTTTTGTAGCAATTACAATCAATACAAAATGTTAAAATAATCGCTATGAAAAGGTATTTTTCTTGTAGTGGTTGTGGGTAATTCAAACCTGTACAATCCATATTTTGATCACGTGAATTGAAAGACTCAGTTAATTGAGGAGAGCGCCACATGTTACATATGCTTATTTAGGAATGCCTTTTAATATATATATAGATTATAGATTTAGATTAAAGATATTGATAACAAAAAAGATAAGTCTTAACTACAACATAAAATTATACTCTATAAAATTAAAAGCGGCAACATTTTTGGTGTGGCCAACCACATTGTGCGACAAACTGGACACAAAACAAAACATCGACCGAGTAACCCCTGACCGACCGAATAACCCCTGCCACACAACCCCTAACTGAGTTAATTCGCCACATCGTGTGATCAGCCACATTTGAAAATCTAATATATATATAAATAAAGTAGGCATTTTTGGAGAGCATTTGGAGCGCCACGTAAGAAATATACTTATTTCGACCAATAACAAGAAAGATTTGTATTTTATTTTTGAATTAAAAAAATTATGTCGCCACCTAGATAAAAGTAACGAATTAGATTTGATATATCTAAAATTTTAATGCCACCCAGATTATAATCCACGAATTAAATTATTTTAATGAAAAAAAATAAAGTAAAATATAGGAAAAGATATATTTATTAATTCAATACTACGAGTATAAGAAATCCAAAAAAAATATACTAAGAAATATTTAAATGATAAACGCTTATAATAAAGTTTGATACCTACCATTATAAGATAATTTTTGATAGTATTTATGATAAGAAATACAAATTGTTCGTTAATTATAATTAAATTAAAATTTGTGATACCTACCATTATAAATTGACACATCATACGACACAAATAAAATTTCGTATCAATAAAAAACCCCATCAAGCGAATTTTGTGTTATTAATTTTGTGTTAATTTTTGTTCATCAATGACCGGGTAATTTTTAGCTTAATTTTTAAAATCCTATGTTTAAATTAGTATTTCTAATTATTACTTACATTGTATTAATTTGGGATACTCAACGATTATATGTTTATGTTTTATTTACTAAATGTTTTTTTACATGCAAATCTAACACATCACACTACACAAATAGAATTTCGTATCAATACAAAACCCCACCAAGCGAATTTTGTGTTAGTAATTTTGTGTTAGTTTTAGGTCATCAATATCCGGGTAATTTTTAAAATCTTATGTTTAAATTTATATTTGTAATTATTAGTTACATTGTATTTATTTAGGATACTTAACGATTATTTGTTTATGTAATGGCATACGATTAGATGTTGTATACTTAATATATGTATGGCTTTGGTTATTTTTGGAGATGATGAAAAAATTCCAATGCATAGATTTGATTTTATATCGCAACAATTTTTCATTTATTGGTAAATATATTGATTTATTTTATATAAATGTAAATATTTAATTTATATCAATTTCAGTTTTACTAACATTTCACGGTTCAATTTATCCATTGATGTAGTAGGTAAGTTGTGGACGAGGTTGGTGATTCTATCGAAATAAAAGATATGGTAAAACAATTTCGATTTAAATTATTAAAAATTTATCATTTCACATTAAAGATTTTATATAACGAAAAAAATATCATATTTAAAATTTATTTATATTTAATAAATTCATAATAAATTATAGTAAAAAAAAAATATTAAACTTTTGTAATTTTGTCAGAAATTATTAAATACAATAAATCAAATAATTAAAAACTTTAGATAAAAAAGCCATGCATGACACGGACTTCCATCTAATTTGTACAATATTAAATCATTACTTTGTAATTCCATTATGTTAAAAAAAATAATTAAAATAATAATAGATCTAATGTCATCCCTAAATAGTGGTTGTTGACATTTGATATTCGGCATTGTGATCCTAATCTACTATTCCAACAACCATCCCAACTAAGAAATCCACTACTCCATAAAAATCAAGCACAAACCCTCTGATTTTTCCAGCAAAGTTCAAGGTCAGCAATCTTTAATATTCTGCAAATCAAGCAACTTAGGTATGTTTAGATTTGATATCATTCAAGATTCAATTGATTTGATATCTGTTCTGATTTTGTAGTTTAATTTCAAGGGCTATTTATATGAATCTCGTCTTGTTGTTTGGGACACTCAAAATTGCTCAAATGCAAGAAATTCATGAGAGAGATGATATTAGGTGCTGATGGCTTCACAAAGTCTTACCCAGTTGACTAATATCATTTTTGCGTGCAGTGATCCCAATAATTCTCTCTTTGTCTTTAATTTTTTTGGAATTCTTTCAATTTTTTTTTCAAACTTTGATAATTAATTTTTATCAAATTTTAAGAAATGATTATTTTTTGAAATTTGTGTTTTAATCGGGTTTTATGGTAGTATTAATTGGGTTTTTGTTGGTGGGTTTATCGTTTAATGTAGATGGTACACTTGAGGTTATTTTTTTCTGGCTTATTTGTAGAATTGTAGCTACCCATTTTCTGATTTGCTTGATCGGAACTATCTAAATGAGAAAAAAAAAGTAGTATTGGGGTGTACTCAAAGCTACGTACACCCGTGTGTATAATGGAAATTGTGGTCTTGTGGAATTTTTTGGGTTTAAGTGTCTATAATGTGTTGATGGGTAGCAGTTAATTACAGCCTTTTGTGAACTAGAATCTGGTAAGAAAAAAAATTGAGTAGGTAAATGCAATGGATTAAAATTTGTTATAAAAAGGTGTTATTTTTGTATTGGGGTTTAAGTGGAACTGAATGAAAATAGTTGAGATTTGTTATGTGGAGAATTATAAGATTTAATACATAAGGATCTTAAACCATTGCATTCAATTACGTGTACATCTGTTAGATTGTTAGGTTTTTGTTTCTAGGAGACAAAGAGAGTGACTTGATCACTGACGCAAAGATGATGTGAGTCGTGGGTAAGTGTTGTGAGCCATGTATATTCAGCACTGCTTACTCTAAGGAATTGAGAGAAAAGCCCTTCCATGTTACATGTCAGTATGACTTGGTTGGCCAATAAAAGGTACATAGCTTTCCAGCTTTTATAATGATGGTCTTCCTTCTTTGCATTGTGCATGAAACACATAGGCATGGTGCATCTTTTATGGTAATACGAGTAGTAATTTTGGCTTGATCTATCAGTTCTGGAAAGGGAGATAAACCTTTTCCTGAATCTTTCACAAGCGCTGCACAAACAAAAAATTTGAATTTATTAAAGTATAATCCATTTAATATAACAATGTGCTGACATGTGCCTAGTCCTGGCTCCTGGGTTCCATGCTGTTATTTCACCCCATCATAGCTTTCCTTGTACTGAATAAGGTTACATTATGTATGTTTGCTTTTTCCTTAATTCATGTGCACACTTAGTTTGTTATTTGTTGCTTTGACTAATTGCTAGATTTTCAAGTGAAAGTGGACTTGTGGAAAGTGCGGCTCCTTGTTCAAATTACCCTTAAATCCTTCAGCAACTAAAGCTTTTTTGAGCTGCAGAAATCCCCATGAAGAAAAATCGTTGCTGAAGGAGGGCAAGATACTCTGTAAGATACGATGTCTATGAAAGATTATGAATTTTATATTCTGGCTCTGGAGACTGGAGTACTTACTTGCATTGAATGCAATTCTTTTCATAATTATATGCCATTGTAAAAAAAATTTCCTTTATTTTATTTGGTTTTTTTATTTGCTATTTCCATAGCTAAATTACTAGGAAAATGATCAACTGTAACAATTCTTCAATTGAGCTCCTGAAAAATCATGGATTTGTTGCTAATATTTATGATGGTTCCGTTACATTCTTACTGAACAATTCCATACACAATCTTCTTGTTCATCCTGCTCATATACATCTGCGACGGATTTTATAGAACATCTATATATCGGAAAGGGAAAGCCTTTCTAAGTGGCAGATTTCAACATAAGAACAGCATAAGATTTACAGCACCGTGCAGCTTATTTGATGATTTCCTTGTGTAGTAAATTTAAGTATTATGCTGAAATTATTATTTTACTTGAGATCAGCACTGTGCAGCTTGTTAATCTACTGTACAGTCTGTACATATTGTTAATAATAGTGTAAAAGGCTTTCTGACAATTGGTGGCAAACAAAGCGAGATACCCCCAAAATAAGGGCAGTGGGCGCCTGGGCTCTTGAACTGTATATTTGCCTTTTGTAGAGATCTCTGTGAAAGAATTTGAGCAAAGTCACCTTCTATCTGACTATTTGCTTACAACTTCCACTGTGATGTGCAGTAGCTGGGGAGCTGTGAATGTTGTTCTGTGTTCTAAGTTGTTTATGATTAACTGATTTGGGCTATAGTTTGAATGTTATGTTGGATAATCTTCTCTGTATCATTGTCAAGTGGGTTCGGTTGAAACTGGAACGCTAAGTATTGTTACATTTTGAGGGTGATTTTTTCTTTTCTTTTCTTTTCTCTCTCTTTTTTTTTTTTTTTTTTTTTTTTTTTTTTTTTTTTTTTTTTTTTTTTTTACAAACCCCCAACTTGTGTGAATTAAATTTTGTGTTGAGTTCATTCTTCTTACTGTTGATTTTGTTCTGTTATTACCGGTGTGTGTATACTCTTCCTATTTTAAAAATGAGATATTCTCTATCTTGTGAGTTAAATATTGCATTGATTTGGTTTTGTTCTTACAATTGATTGTTTAATTTACTATTTTTGCTTAACATAAATGTTCTGTTTAGATCATATGGAGGATTCTGGAATAAAAACAACTGTACTAAAGTCTTTATATGATGTCAGACTTGTTTGAATGGATGTTAGGCGTAAAGAAATCAGAGCTAGTGTATTCTGTGGCATTGATTTAGCCTCTGGTATGGCTGCATTTATACTTTAAAATTGTTATTTAGTCTGTGGATGTATCTTTTTGATAATTTAATTTATTTATGTCATTTTGTTCCATATTAGAGTGTATATGATTCTCCTAATCTCTTGCACTATGTTGTGTTGATAATAATGTTTCACCAAAAAGTGCATGCTGTCAAGTGAAATATCTACACCTCACAGTGTATGCTAGCATTTGTTACGTTATAAATTATTAAATCGAGGATAATGTGGCTATTCAGGTGACTAAATTTTCTATGGAGTATTAATTTATTGGCATCATGCATAGCTGAAGTTGTGCTAGTGCTTGATATTTTTCCAACCAGAAATGTGGGGGCTATTTTATTTTGTACATGTGCATTGTCATGTACTCACGTGTAGCCCAGGTTAGTCACTCTAACTTAAAGTTTACTGGCATTAAGGAGATTTATTTTATTGGAAATGAATTCTAGGCATGATAGGTTGTCTCCCTTTAATTTGAGCACATTGTTATGTTAATGGATGGGTTTAGGCTCACAGTTAATCTTTTTGGAGCAACAAATGGTAAATTCTCCTCAGATAATATGTGGCCATCCTTACTGAACAGCTTAAAGTGAGAAAAAACTAGCTGCTAGCTTCAACGAGGCCCTATTCTTCAATCGTAATGTTTCTTAGTTTAGGTTTTATTTCTTGCTATGCTGACAAAGTAGCTAAATGATGGGCATTTAAAACAGTTTCAACCCACAATGTCACTGTATTATTAATACTGAGGTCTCTCATGATGGCTTGAGGGTTAAAAGTTCTGCCTTCTTTTGTCCCCTATTATGTTTATTCAACCTATACACATTTGACTTATAGAGGTTTCAGCTTAACTAGGATATTTAATGACTTTATCATTTGTGGACTTGATGGCGTATTCTGGCTCCAACAGCAACCACAACAACAACAACGAAGCCTTAGTCCCAAATGATTTTGGGTCGGCTAACATGCATTGTCAGAGCATAGCAAGACAATTGATTTGGTGTACTCTGGCTCCATGACTTGATGGTAAGTCATGTATTTTTCTGGTAACATTCTAAATTATGAGCACCTTGGTTATGAAGGTATAGCTTCTGTTACCCCAAGTCCTTAATTAGGGATGACAAGTGTCTATATATGATTTTAGCCCAAAATAAAGTGTCCAAATGTCCATACCCTTGCCGGAGTGTTGAAAATCTAACAAGGATACTTGAGTTGAAATGAAGAGTTTAAGTAACATTTATTTTTTTTAATGGTAAAGAGGACCCTGTCTAACCCTCACGGATTTTTTGGTCCAATATTTGTGGGCCAGACACTTGGGAGTAGAGAGGAGGGTAAGGGAATCCCTACCCCCAAGTACCCTGACTTGGTAGGATTTGAACTGCTGGATTTGAGGTAGTGAGCCAACACTTTGTTGGTAGAGTCCAAGTAACATAGGGTATAAGTATAGGTGCCATACAATTTCAAATTATTGACTTTTGGATAAATTTGTTTTTGCATAGGTTACATTCCATCTCATTTAAATGTTGCCTTGCAACTCTAGTGGTTTCTAACGTGTATCATTATCATCATTATACTTGATTTTATTGTCTATGTGGAAGTAGTCATCCTTGAATCTATTTAGAGTAGTTTAGAGTTTCTCTACTTCATAGTTTAGAGTAGCCTACTACAAAATTTGTCAGCTTTCTATCCAAGGAAGAGGTTATCTGATTACATTGTAATCTAAAGTAGTTATACTCTTTTTTTAGGTGATTCTCCTATTTGCATTCACTTCTTTGTTTTGATGATTATGATTGATCTAAATGTGCATGCTGACAAGTGATATCTTCACTCAAAGTGCATGCTAGTATGTTTAAACTTACTCAATCAACCACTCAATAGTAAGATAGTTTGAATTGGCTATTTAGGCGACTAATTTTCTTTAATTCTATATATCATGACTGCCTGCAGATGCTGTTTATCATGTGTAGGAGAAGTTGATATGTTTGCTATGCTTTCATTTTAATGCGTGGGGGAAAGTGGATGTTCAAGTGCATTTAACGTCACGGCATGTCCAAGCTATTCAATTCTGAGCACATTATTATGTCATGGAATGGAACTTTAGGTTCAATGTTCATCTTGACATGGTACAAATACACTTGGATGAGAAATGATCTTGCAAATTTTAATTCAATTGACATTGTCTCTTCCTCACTTCACATATGAACGTTTCCTCAAATGTCAAATCAGGTGATCTTAAGTTATCTTCTACACATATCTGCAGTTATGCTCTTTTGCTAAGAAGTAATTAGGTAATATTCATACCTTTTCTTACGCTTTTTATTTATTTATTTTTATTTTCTATCTCGCAAACACCTGAAAAAAAATCTATGAAGAGACTTTGAGAACTGAGAAGTGAAGATAGAGGGAGATATGGTATCTAATTGATGTTATGTCTTCCTGATCTCATTTATTTTTGGCTACCGAAAACAATTCTAGTTTTTGTTTATCTCATGTTTGTTGTCGTAAAAAAGAAGGAAATAAAATTTCTTGTCTACAAATCATGATATCAAGTATTGAAGTCTTTGGTATTCACTATTGCTTGTTCAAATATCAATTTTTGAAGAAAAGGTAATGACATTGGTTAGTTCTAAAGTAGTAAAGTTGCTTGGATTAGGTTCTATATTTTTTTTGCCTTAATGTGGAAATAGCTTACTTTTATATTCCTCATATCTTCACCTCACAGGCAGGATTTTTTTATTTTTTTTTTTTATTTTTTTTTATTTTTTAAAAATTACATTATTTATTACTTAATCTAGTAGTATAACGTATGAGTGGCTATCTAGCTCGATGACAAAATTTTCTTCATATTTGTATAGAAGAAACCATGGCTGTTATAAAAGCTCTTTAACATTGCAGAAGTGGTGATGGGGTGCATCTCTGTTAAATTGAGCACATGATTATGTTACTAGATGGAGTTCAGGTTCAGTGTTCATCTATTTGGTGCAACAAATGGGGAGTACAGTACTACAGTATAGCTCAGATATCTTTTATAATGTGGCCACCTTAAGGTGAGAAAGGATATCTTTCGAAGTGGCTACTACTTGGCATGGTACTACTGCTACACTTGATTCAGAAAGGGGTTCGTGAATTGAAATTGCTAGACTCAACCACGTGTGGCCCTATATATTTCCCGTTTCTCTTATTAACATATTCTTAAACTAGGTGGTCTTACTTCCCAAAAAAAAAAAAAAACAAAACTAGGTTATCTTACATTTAATTTCTCTTGTTTATTATTTTTAAGAAGATATTAGATAACAAATTTACCTTCATTATGACCCTATAGAGGAGACTGAACAGAAAAAATGGAAGGAAATAAGGGAATAAAGTTATCTCATTTACTTACAGCTGCTGTTATCTGATGGCAGTTTCATGTTTGTTGTCATATCACAAGACCAGGAGTCAAAGTATTATCGTCTATATTAGTTGTCATAAAGTTACTATCATATTCTGTTGAAGTCTTATACCCACCCTTTAAAGTCTTCTACCTATTGTTCTTGTTTATAAGTTCAATTATTTGGATAAAAGAAAATGGAAATGGCAATTGCTAAATGTTGCTTGTAATAAGTAGTTTTATATCCTGCCATAGTGTTGAGTTGCTAACTGATGGGTTATGTCACCATATGATCAGTATTGAGATCTTTCTTTAGAGTTGAATTTACGGTTTTGTCTTTTGTCTGCAGATGCTGTTTATCATGCATAGGAAGAGTTGAGATGTTTGCTATGTTTTAGTAAAAAATGTGGGGGCAAGCTGATGTTCATGTGTACTTCAACATCATGCCCTGTAGTCCAAGCTCTTCAATCTGAGTACATCATTATTTCAGTGTTCATCTTTACTTGGTACAGATACATTTGGTACTATCTCTTCCTCACTCCTGTGAACATATCTTGAAATCAATTGATCTTAAATTGTTTCCTGCACATACCTGCACTTATGTTTTCTTTTATTCATTCTTGCTTAGATAACAGCCGTACTTTTTATGTTTTGCTATTTTATTCTATTGTTCTCCATCTCGTGAACACCTATGATGAAACTGTGAGAAAGGAAGGTAGAGGGTAAGGTATCCTTTTTAAATTTTTTTAAATTTATTTTTAAGAGAGGATAATAAGGTATCTTATCTCCTGATCTCATTTATTTTTAGCTACTGTGTCCAATTCTAGTTTAGTAGTTTTGTGTTCGTTGTTGTAAAAAACAAGGAGCCTAAATTTTCTTGTTTAACATATTTGTCAATTACAATCTTGGAATTGCATTTTCAAAATATCAATTTTTTTTAAGAAAAGGAAATGACAATTGTGAGCTCTAACATTGCCTTGATTAGGTTTAGCTTCTTGCCTTAATGTGGAAGTAGCTTACTGATGGGTATTGGGTATAGCTTGAGCCTGATATGCTTACTAGTATTGAGGTCTCACCATGAGAGTTAAAATTTACATATTCTTTTCTTCTTTCTTCTTGTTTGTTTCTATATTTTGGGGGTTTCAGCTTTAACTAGGCAATATAATCTTCTAACTGCTTATGGACTTGATGGTGTAGTCCCATGGAAAAATGATATGGATGACATAATACCTGTGTTTTTGTTGTTATTATTAAAAAAAAATTTAGCACTTGGGCTGTTAGGTTTAAGTACTAGATAATTAAAAATAATTGCAATAGAATCTATTTGTTTATTATATTATTCGATATCATTTACTCGTATATTCTTCTTCATTTAGCTGCAGTTTTATTGGTTTTTAATGTGAATCACAATCATTGTACATAGTTTCTTGTTTGTTCAGAAAAGGTCTTAAAGAATTTATGTTTAGTAAATATTGGATGTCCAGAAAAGTATTGAGTTGCACTTCATGATCTAGGATCACCATTTAGAATTAATTACTCGTGTATGCCTTATGAGTTATGATAAAACATGACATAGCTTCGCCTTATGAAGCTCAGGTTCTAGTTTAGACTTTAGAGTGTTTCTTGTGTTAAATTCTTAATTCCTAGTTTCAAGTCTTCCTTACCCATTTAGATGTCATAGCACCGGCACATAGTGAACTCATGTCTTCAAATACGGAAATCTCTAATTTCATGATCTAAAATACTGTTTGGAATGATTACACGTGTACGTGTGTATGCCTATAATAAGAACATTACAAAGTTTCCCATTATGAAGCTTCAGGTTCTAGTTGAGAGTGTGTTTTGTGTTGAGTTCTTAATTTCTTATTCTTCGAATCTTCCTTAGACATCTGGATGTCGTAGCACCAGCACATAGTGAACTCATGTCATCGAATACTGAAATCCCTATTTTTTCTTTCTGAGACCTATAAATTGCTGACCAAACGCTACTTAGTTTCTTATGTTAGTCAAAATACACGTGCCCATTAAAATCACAATCAAGAAATAAGGCCTTTTTAGGGTATACTTAAGCGTACGAAGGCCTTTTGCGTAATAAATTTCTGAAGACGAGTTGCTCTCAGTGTTGTTAGTGTGAATAAAGTGTCAAATTCATTGAATTATACTTTTTAAGGTAGGTAATTTCATTGTTCACAGCTCAAAGGTTTAAAGCAAATATGTAATGAATGGTAACATATCAATTCTCTGATTTACACTTATTAAGTATACATTTTATTCTGTATTATCAAAGGGTAAAATATATTGTTTTTCTCCATCTTTATTTTTTTTTATAAATCCATCACAAAGTGATGTGGGTATTCTATCCTTGTGAAAAAAAATCCATCTCAAAATGAGCTGGTGATTCTATCCTTGTAAAATTAAAAAAAAAAAAAAAAAAAAAAAAAATCCATCTCAAAAAGATGGGGTGATCCTATCCTTGTGAGCTGTATTCTAAACCCTAGTCCATCAACCTAGTCCAAGTTTTCTATATAAATGATTTACTTGCTCTCATTTTAATCTCACAACTCTTTCTCAAATTCTATTTGATATCCTCCTCTCTCTTTATTTTTCTTGGTAATTAATCTACGGAGTAGTAGGTTTTCATGCAGATCCATAAGGATCAGATAGCTTTTATGCTGCCTGCCATGAAATGTCCAAGGAAGAAGAAAAGGAGGAGTTTTATGCTCTAGCATATATCATATTGCATCTGCAATTCACCAAAGTGGCCTATGTCGAAGAGAAGGATTGGATTTGTCGATGCCATCAGCATCATGGCCATGGACTCAAGAACAAGTATTGATTGGGCATTAAGAGCAAAATTAGTACCAGATGTTGTAATCTTTATTACAACACAAACTGGGAAAATGATGCCTTGACATGTTTGTCTGATTCTCATAGTCTTCACGAGACGGGTAAGATCATATTCCTTATGTACAAATCTTAAAGTTGCAGATACTATTTGTAATATCTAGAATAAGGTAGTCACTTTTCTTTTTGATAGTTTAATTTTAAACTCTTGTGGGGCTCTAATCTTTACTTCTATTTCAAATGTTGAAGTTTGGAACTACAGTATTATCTTTGTCCAAAAGTTGTAAAATTGATCTTTTAAGTTCGTTGCATGAAGATTTCTAACTTGGGTGTTTGAAATTTTGGGATGCAGTTGGTGCAGGCTCATGTCATTGGTGGTGGTATTGATATGGCTGGGCTTTGGACCGACCAATTCGGAAGGCTTGGGGATGTGTCCTCATGTTTTGGGTGGTATCGATCTCCTTTCGCTATCAATACGATTCACGGTAATAGGCCTGATCTTTTTGACTTGGCCATGTCAGGCATTTGTCGAAGAAATCATCATCTTGAATGCCCTACAATTTTACCTTGTATCTCAAGTAGTCGAGGATGTGTTGGTTTAATATCAATATTATCTTAATATTGCAAATGAAATTTGTATCAAATATTGTCAATTTAAGTTATCAAATATTGTCAATTTAAGTTATCTATGAAAGGTTGTGAAGTTAAATCTGTATTTTCTTTTGATGGAGTATCTCAAAGAGCAGTGGTGTAACAATGTTCGATTCAAAAGTTGGCTGAATGGAAATTTAAAGTTGTAACTTGTATATTGTTATTTTAATGTAGAGAGAGCAACATAGACAAATGATGCAGATGAGATTTGATCTCGGTTTTGAATAACACCTCTCATCATCATGGCCTTGCCTCCTAATGAATAAAGTTTGAAGACTTGTTGTATCTCAATTTCTAATTAACCATCAACTTTTTAATTATTTTTTATTATAATAATATCATAAATTATATCTTTATAAACTTAACTTTTTTAGTTGAATTTAATAAAATAGTGTCTCAAACAAAGGACAAAAGAAGTGGTCTTACATCACTAACAATACAACAACTCCCAATAGTATTATGTGAATACAAAGTTAGTAAGTTACCATTTGATATGTTTGGATCGAGAGTAATGTATTACAAGGCTAGTAAAAGTCAAAAACTAAACAAAATGAGAATAATGTATTGCTAGTTTAATACAAGTTAAATTAAACAAAATGAAAGTTTTTAAAAGGAAAAGATACTCATGGTGTGAATCTAAGGAAGTTTATGCAGTGATGGTGTAGTGATACTTGAAGAAAGGGAAACTAGTGCCTTCAATTAAAGCCTTAGAGGTAATAGTTACATTAAAAGAGCGTTTGGTTAGACAATGAAAACGAAGTGAAAAGGAAACAAATAAAAAGGTAGAAAGGAATCATATAACTATTACCTTTTCGTTTGTTTGGTTTAACTATGGAAAGGAATCACTTTGTGTTTGAGGAGGGTAAGGGGTCGTTTGGTTCACAGAAGAGAATCGGAATGGAATGAACAACGTGAATGAAATGGAATGGAATGGCAAAGTGGAAAATTTGGAAGGTTGTTTGTTACAAAAACCAGGGAATCATTCCCTCCACCACAGCACCACCATCACAGCGCAGCTCCGACCGCCGCCGAACCCTCACAGAACTCTGCCGACCGTCTCCGACCCATCCCCGACCGTCGCCGACCATCCAGCCCCCATCGCCGACCGTCGAACTCCCTCCCCGATGCTCCAGCCCCCCTCCCCGATGCTTGAACTCCCTCGCCGACAGTCGCGCCCCCTTCGCCGACGGTCGCTGACCCCTCGCCGACCCTCCAGCCCCCCTCGCCGACGGTCGCTGACCACCACCGACCACAACACCACCTCGAACTCCCTCCCCGATGCTCCAGCCCCCCTCCCCGACGCTCGATCTCCCTCCTCCACCACAGCACCACATCGCCGACCACTCCCCGGTGCTCGCCGAGCCTCCCCGACCACTCCCCGGTGCTCGCCGACAATCGCCGTCCGACCACCACCGGCGTATATGGGTGTTAGTGTTAGTGTTAGGGTTAGGGTTAGGGTGGGTGGGGAATATAATGGGAAAGTGGGGGGGGGGGTGGGGAATGGGGAAAGTGGGTTTTGGGGTATTTTGAAAAATGAAATGGGGGAATGATTGAGGGAAAAAGTGGCAAACAAACAGGTTGAAAGGGAATGATTCCCATTCCCTTTCCTGAAACCAGCGAACCAAACGCACCCTAAGGGTATTTGTTACCTTGTGTTTTGGAGAGGTAACAAATGGGTGGAATCCCTTACCCTTAGGTAATGGTAATTGTTACCAAACCTTGTAACCAAGCATTTGTTAACGGTAATAGTTTATCCGAATCAATTTTCAACCCAAAATATACACTAACCAAACATGCTTTAAGAGTGGGTTACTATATACTCGCACTTTGTATTACCCATTATTTTTTTTGACGGGATTGTATTACCCACAATAAGGGTAACATTCCTCCACATCTTTTTAACTCATGTAACAATTCACAATTCACAAATACCTGCGAGTAACTCATTTCATTCATAAACGGCTTATTAGTATATCTCACTCCAACAACACCCCTAATCACTAGTGTTTTTCAATTTAACTTTTATTTACCCTTTAAATTTATTACCGGCAATTGTATTTTCTGCAAATATGAAGGAAGTTGTGCATACAGTAATTTCAAGCGGTATTGACAGGAACCCGGTTCTTGATTGAGTGTTAATTTCAATTTCCACATCCCAAATTGAAGATATTTTCTTTCTAGATTACCTTAGCTCTGGTAAGTTCCATTTTTTTTTTTGTCTGGTTTTAATCGTATTGTTGAGCTGATAAATTCATATCTATTACTGTATTTATTAATTTATTGTTGGGAAGTTCTTAAAATTGTTAATTGGGTTGGTCTTTGAATTCTTGGATTTGCATGGGTTGGGTTGGCTGCACTGGCTGATCGGTTTTGAATTTGACTACCGAAAGAAGAGTTTAGTAATTAATTGTTGTTTTAATTGTATATAAATTACTTGTTAATTTGGGAAGATAATGTTATAATGTAATTAGGGTATTTATACTTTTGTTAGTTATTAATATTGATGGACATTATACTTTGATTATTGCATTTGTTCAGTTGATGACATTTCCAATTTAATGAAAAAGATTGTAATTTTAGGTATATGTCTCAAGTTGATCACTGATGTGAAATTGATATGAGCTGTGGGTTTTCGACATTGCTTGCGTTTTCTCGGTTGATGTCTGTCAGTATGACTCAGTTTGGTTGGCCAAGATGAGGTGTGTTGTGAGTGTTGTCTGCTTAGTATTGCTATTGTCTCTCGTAGCCTATTCATTTTAATGCATGTTAAAAGGGGTTTGATATTCGGTGAAAATATGTTGGTTATGCTTGTTCGTTCTTTGTCATTCGGAGAAATTTTGTTTAATGGCCCACATATATAGTAATGTATGTTTCCTATGCTTGCAATGTAAATCATTAGTGACTTTATTTATTCAAGATACATGATTGACATTAAATACAAAATGTTGTGTGAAAAAAATGATCTTTCAATAAAAGCTCAAGAATACAAGGGGTTAAGTGTCTGTTCTAGATTATAATGCCTTGCGCGTTGGACTTCTTTGGTGCTAAGCAAACCTCATATCTCGGATTATTAATGATAGTATGGCTTTGTATTGAGAATGGCATATTTGATTTGAAGGTGCCATATATTCTTATAAAGCTTCTTACTTTAAGACATATAGGATTATTGTGCAATTCATTGTGCTTTGAGCACTAAAATATCTTTTGGTTAATCTATCTTGCTGTGTGTAATTGGTAAGGGACAAGGAGAGAAATATAGAAGACATATTGGATACATATATTCTGATACGGAGTACAAGGACATGAGTACATGACCATTTGCTAATAGTAAGCGAAGAAGTGTTTTGTACTTTTATATCAAATTAGCTGTCAAGGTTGTGGCGTCGCGGTAGTTGTGATGCTGATGCCATTAGTAAGTTAGTAACTAAAGAAAACCAAAACCTAGAACAGAGCAGATTTGTAGTACAGGGTTCAGTATATAGTTTTTAGGGATTTTTTCCAACTGCATTTACAAATCTTGGAGAATCATATCAACATGATTTGATATGCAATTATAAGTTTTAAGTTTATTTAAATATTAGTGCTTTTAGGAATTCAAGACCCTAATGTTGTTCATAATAATCAAATTTGACTTGAATGTTCAAGTGTGATTCAGACATCCATATTTGTTAATTGTTATACATCTAACACACCCTTGCTCAGAGTTAAAATTGGTGTTGATTGGGTTCTGTTCTTACAGATGCGTATACTTCGTTTAATGTTACATATCTTTTGACAATGAATAATCTAGTTTATTTTTCTTGCGAAACAAAAAATTTCTGCTTAGATTATTTGGGTAATTCTCATATAATTGATGTAATAATTACTGCACTTGAAAGTTGAAACTTAATGCGGAGTCAGATCAGTTTAAATTGGTTATAAGTGTTGCCAATGAGGAAATAAATTCTAGGATGATTTATCACTTAGATCGTGCCTTTGATTCATTTTAGTGTATTGGCCGAAGGTAGATCGTCTCTCTCTCTCTCTCTTGTCTAGTTTACCACGTCAGTTTTTCCTCATAAACTCTCTTATTTGCATGAACTTTGTTGTTTTTTTAATTATATTGTACTTAAACGTGCATGTTGACAAGTGTCATATCTTCACCTCACTGTGCATGTTAGCATGTTATCATATTATTGGGATTATTCAATCTAGTTGTTTAAGTGGTTATCTAGCTAGACGACCAAATTCTCTGTAAATCTTATTAACATGAAACCATATTTGGTTGCTGTTCAACATGCAAGCAGAAGTTGTGACGGTGCACATTATGATGTTACTAGATAGGACTTCCGGGTCAGAGTTCATCTATATGGTGCAACAAATGGTGAGTACTGTACTGCTCGGATATGTTTTTATATTGTAGGCACCTTAAAGCAAGGGTAAGTATCTTGACATGGTATTGTTCATTGTCTGTTACAGTTTAATAAAAAGGGGTTAGTGAATTGAAATCACTTGACTCAACCATAGCCACTTTTGCCACTATCTTTTTCTCACTTCACTTATTAATGTATGTCAAACTAGATGACCTTAAGCTATCTTCTGCAGTTCTACTCATATCTTTATTCTTTCTTGCGGAGTTGCTAAGTTCTACTTTTTTCAATCATAAGTAGTATAATAAAAGAATAAAAGACGAAGCTGCGTGAAGGGAAAAGGAGGGAATAAGATATTTCTTTTATTTACAGCTTTCATATCATGTTGGCTGTCATTGCAAGAACAGGAGTCAATTTTGTTATTGTCTATTTTATTTGTCGGGAAGTTGCTTTCATATTCTGTTGAAGTCTTCTATCTCTTTTGCTCTTGTTGACTATTTCAATTTAGAATAGCACTACTCTTATCAGTGTTGAGGTCTCATTAGGGTTAAAATTTTTATTTGTCTAGTTATCCCCTTCATGGTTGTTCCTTCACAGCTCTTGCTTTATTTTTTTTTAATTTTTTATTTAACTAAGCGATGCAGTCTTCTGATTGCCTATGGTTTTGCTGCTGTAGTATCACTGGCTCCATGGAATACTATCTGGTAATTGCACAGCAAATTACACTCTTCATCTGTTTTGCCGTGAATACTCAAAAACTACTAGCACTTGGGCTATCAAGGTATGTCTAAATACAAAGTTGCAAATTTTTTAGATTAAATGCATTTGTTTCTATAATATTCCATCTCATTCTAGT